CAGGGAAACAGCCCAATGAACATCACTGCAGAGGAGCCAATCAGCTAGATGTTGCTGGGGCGCTGTGAGCCAATCATCAGCCGGCAACTGGAAGTTTGCTGGCAGCTGGAAGTTTGCTGGGGCCCCTTTGGCTGTGGCTCTCAACAATATGAGACTTGTGATTTATTAGGGAAAGCTTACAAGAGATCAGTGACAGCTCCAAGAGTTTAGTGGCAACAGGCTGACAGAGGGCACCTCTGTTTTTTGTCTAGAGGCAGCCTGCTAGAATTTCCACAGAGCCCTCTCTGTACCTGTGCCCACTCAGAGTGGGGTTTTATGTGTTAGKCTGCAGAAACAATGACATCATCAGCATTAGCTTGCCTAGTTTGCYTGTCTGACCAGCATCCCAGGACCATCTGTTCTGGTGCACATGCAAGAAATTTCTTTCTACAGATAACACTAACTTGCCCCAATTCCCAGTGTGTATAAGATAGCTGGTGTCCTTTAAGATATTATGTGTCTGGACTTTCCAGCCCAGGCTTGCTCTCATTACTCTCTTAACTTGGCTAAGTTTTTGGGGAAAGAAAGGCGGTATTCAGGGACATAGTGTTTTACCATCCCCCTTTTCTCTGAGAATGATACAATAATGTATGGAATACTAAACAGTGCTTGAGACTCAGTTGATGTCCATTATATGCTAATTATTATTATTATTTCTATTATTTTGTTGTTATATATTTCTCATTATCTCTAAACTTGCCCTCTGTGCTCCTCCAGGGTAGTTTATTTCAATTCATCCTCCAGCAAAAGTGACTTTTTTTTTTTAAAGGAAAACAGGCTCAAAATATATGTGTAGTGGCATCAAGCATGTCAGTGGTGGTCTAGAGCCAGGGTAAGAGGGAGATCAACCACAAATGGGCACAAAGGAACTTTCTGTGATGAGAGAAGTTGTGTATATTTTGACTTGTGGTGGTGGTAAGCATCTTCATATGTCAAGACCTATCAAACTGTACACTTAATCGGATGCATTTGTTTTTATGTAAATTTCCCTTAATATTGTTATTTGGGGGCGGAAGGTAAGGGGCTCAGTGATAGAGTGCTTGCCTGGCATTTGCAAGGTCCTGGGTTTTGTCCTCAGCAATGCTAATAAAAATAAGAATGAGAAGGTGAAGAAGAAAAGGTAACCAGCCTTCCTGATCATCTACTCTGCATTTTCTGTTTTCCATGGCACTTATCAGAACTTATCAGTATATACAATTATTTCATTCATTTCTTTACATGTATTGCCCAATTCTTCTCTCCACTAAAATATGAACTTTTGGGGGACAAGGTCTCTGTCTTATCCACCAGTATAACTCCAGAATCTCTAGATCCATGCCTGGCATATAAAAGGAACACAATAATTCTTATTGACAGGCTGATTCAAGTCCATCAATAGTTATTTCTCCAAATTAAATGCTGATTTCACCCATTCTCATCATTCCCACTTTCACCCAGAGTACCATAGCCTCTTGTTTGGTTATGCAATCACCTCCTTGTGGGTCTTGTTGATTCCACCAGTGTCCTCTCAACGCAGTCTCTCCAGAGCCCCCATGATACTCCTTGTAAAATTAAACCAGATTACCTTTCTTCCCTGCTTTTGTAATGATTAAGAAGTTGAATGAGTGAACAAGAAAAAGAAAGGCAATTTAAATCTCTATGAAAATATAAGAGCTACAATACAACAAAGGTCATAATCCTAATACAAAATGAATAAAAATGTAACATTGGAGCAGATATGAATCTCAGTCCACAAATTCCAAAAATATCTCAACTATTAATAATGAATTGGACGGGTGGCCCTCAGACCAAAATAATAATAAAAATAATAATAAAAATAATAATAATAATTCTACCTGCACAGTGAATGCCAGTCCCTTAAGCTTTGGAAACTCCAAAACACCCTCTTCTCTCATTAGCCAAAGTGAATTTCCTTGACATAGAGGAAAGGCCCTACTTCTCTGAGACATTGTACGTACCCTCAAGAAATACCACCTTTTATTTCATTCTCCAAACTCTGTAATTTCTTTAAAAACATATTAGGGTCAGGGGAAACTAAAGCTGGAGAAAGGGCAGGAAATTTATGTGTACTACCCTGTCAAACATCTCACCCTCAGTGAAGTATCAAATTGGCTACCTACTTGGGTGGGAAAATGGGAAATTTTTTTTAAAAAGTGGAAGAGTGTATAAAAAAACAAAGAGTAGACTGGGGTTGTAGCCCAGAGTTAGAGCGCTTGCCTAGCATGTGTGAGGCATGGGGTTCAATCCTCAGCACCACATAAAAATAAATAAATTAAAATAGAGGTATAAAAATACAATAACATTATTTTTTTTTAAAAAAAGGAGCAATGGAAAAGTGTAAATTAGTTTTTCAGAAAACTACCTAGCCAAAGTTTCTCTCTAGTAAAACCTTTGTTGCAGATGTTGACTTTTTTTTCAACCCTCTCAATAGCATAGAAGTCTGAGTTTTACATTTTCCTGGGTAGTTAGCATTGTGACTGACTCCCCAACATTTCCATTCTTTTTTWAATTAATTTATTTTACAGTAGAATGCATTTTGACACAGTGTACACAAATAGAGCACAACTTCTCATTCCTCTGTCTGTGCATGGTGCAGTTAGACCAGTAGTGTAGTCATCCAAGTAAACAGGGTAATAATGTCTGTCTCATTCTACTCTCCTTCCCATCCCCACCACCCCATCCTTCCCCTCACTCCCCTCTACACAACTCTAAATTCCTTCATTCTTCCCTGTCCCTCCACCCCACTATGGATCAACATCTACTTATCAGAGAAAACATTTGGCCTTTGTTTTTTGGGGATTGACTTATTGCATTTCGMATGATATTCTCTAGTTCCATCCATTTACCTGCAAATGCCATAATTTCAGTCTTCTTTAAGGCTGAATAATATTCCATTGTGTATATGTACCACATTTTCTATATCCATTCACCTGTTGAAGAGTACCTAGGTTGGTTCCATAGTTTAGCTATTGTGAATTGAGTTGCTGTTAACATTGATGTGGCTGCGACACTGTACCAACATTTTTATTCTGTTCCATGATTAATCTAAGCAATTCATGGCAACTTGCTCCACATCAGTTATTGGTTCACAGATGGACAAGCCTGAGCCACTTTGGGCCAGTGGGATTCAAGGAGAGCCTTGATGAGGGTTCTGGGAAGGCCAGTTGCTCCATCTTGAATGCCATGGAAAGCAAATGCGTTCTTCCCTGTAAGTTGAGGATGAGAAAGCACAGAGTTCCCATTGCCACTGGTAGTCAGTCACAGCAATGAAGGATGAAACCGGAACTGTGAGAGGCAAAGAAACAGAAAGAGCCCACCACCTCAATGCCATCATTCAGCTACTGGGTCCAGTCCTCACGCTCTATTGTTTAAGCCAGTTGAGTTGGCTTTTCTGCTACGTGTTGCTCAGTGCATTCCACCTGATTCCAAATTTGGTGCCAGGAATAGAAGGGTTGTGAATAATAGAGAGGAGCGGGTTGCCTGGTGATCTCCCAAAGATGTGTCTACATACTAATCTCTGGAATCCATGATTATTACCCCTTATTTGGAAACAGAGTCTTTGCAGATATAATTAAGTCACACTTTATTATTTTCAAGTTCAGTCAGATGTTGAAGAGACACAAGTTGAAGACTTTTTAAAAATAAAATATCACATTTGACCTTTATTATCTGACCATTCATCAAATTCAGAAAAGGCTTTTCAACACACCTTCATATGACTCAGCAGTTAAAGGCTTTTTTTAAAAAGTTTAGTTACATTACTTATTTGATGATGATGATGCTAATTTCAGAGATTGATTCTATTGTAACTAAAAATAAAAATAAATAAATCCCTGAACTGGGAATCTGAATCTGAGTTTTATCTCTGTCTTAGCACTAAGTTAGGGACTTGGGAAATCATTTCTTTGCCTGAGCACTAGTTACCTTCCTAAGGAACCACCACTACCTCCCAAGTGTCTCAGAATCATCTAGGTCCTTGCTATAGATATATTTCTTTTTTATTTTTATTTTTTTTAGTTCTCGGCAGACACAACATCTTTGTTTSTATGTGGTGCTGAGGATCGAACCCGGGCCGCATGCATGCCAGCCGGGGCGTTACCGCTTGAGCCACATTCCCAGCCCTACAGATATATTTCTGAGCCCTTTCCTGAGTCTTCTGGATCATATTTTCTGACATTGGAGCCCAGGAATAATTGGGTAATTATCATGTATAGCTAAGTTTGTGCAGCACAATGATCCCCAGGGTCCCTATAAATATTTGTTTTCTKATTTCTATACTTTCTCTCACTTTCTGGTCTCTGCTACAAGACATCATGCTGAAACAAAACACAAAATAGACAATAAAAAACCAAGACCATGATTTCATCATTTTCATAGCCCCCTCCCCAGCATCTTCACATACCAGTGCCTGGTATGTAGTAGGAACTCAATAAATATATGAAGAATTAATCAATGGCTATTAAATACATGAATGTTATTTCATGTGTATCCCAATCACCTACCAATAGAGAAATTTAGAGAAAGAAAAACTATTTTAAACTTTTATAGGATATACTTCCACACTTCCTGGCTGCCCTACTGCACCCGTCAGTAATGGGTGTTGTGGATAAGGCTAGCACAGAGTCAGAGACCACAGGAAGGTGGCCGAGATTCCCCCACGGGTTAGATGATCCCATGGTATTTCCCGGAGGCGGTGACGGTTTGTGATTCAGCAGGAGCCAGTTTTTCCCTGCTTGATTTTTTTCAGATCTAGAAAAACTTGTCTCCTGCCTGGGTGATGCATACCCTTGAGGTCATGCTGTAGATCTCTAAAGGCCACCTCAAGTGTCTGGGGCCCCCAGTGATTGGGAAGAGGCAGTCATCTTCTGTTGGAAGTCACTGGTAGATTTGCTAGCAGTGAGTGTCAACCTAGCAAGGTGTCCATAGTAGATGATTCCCCCAGGATGTCTGATATCACCGCCTGTGACTTCACAGTCCTTTATCCCACCTCCTCCTTTAGGCCACCTTCTGAGCCTCCCCAGCTCAAACACTGTCTGCTGGCCTTGGAAAGTGCCGGGTCAGGATGAAATCTGTCACAGAGGTGGGAAACTTAGCCAGGGGGAGGTAGAGGAGTTTGGCATCCAGGCCGGGGTTGTAGCGGATGCGGGGGCTCCGGGAAACGATGGCGTGCTCCATGCTGTTGGTGACATCCTTGATTCTTGGCTCTGCCAGCTGCATCATGTTTTTCAACTTGTCGGTATCTGTTTGAGGGGTGGGGGGTGGCAATGAAAGGTTCTGTTATTCTTCATGAAAGATGAAAGTTTCTGTTATTTTTCTGAATTCTGTTCAAGCTCCCTTTCCATCAGATCCCTGGCCTAACATTTCAGGCAGGTTTTCACACACACATTTATAAGATCATTACAATTCCTCTTATTTGTCTTCCTCAATTTTACAGTTGTGCATTGAATATTAGTGACTGCAATGAGAAGAGCTGTGCCAGTTCTTTATATGATTGTGCCACTTAGAGCTTAAACTTTCATTATCTGTAAAACAGGGATAATGCTACCTGCCTTGGAGAATAGCAAAGATGATTGATGAGTAGCAGGCTACGTGATCGGGTAGTGGGATTCCTAGGCTTTTTTCATTTTTTTTTTCTTCACTTTCTAGAGTTTCCACATTTTCTACAAAAGCATGCAGGGGGAAAAAAAAATGTTGTTAAAAATAGTAAACCAGCTGGGCAAGGTGGACAGTGGGAGGTGATACGAAGCACATCCTTCCATTGTCCTCTCAAATATTTATTAGCTCTTATTTTGTGTGGGCACCTGCTGGGCATGGAATGGAAAGGGAGACACAAGTTCCCATCTAGCCCATCACTCTCCTAGATGGTGCGGAAGAACATGGGCTTTGGATCTGGACACCTGGGGAAAAGTTTTTCTTCCTGAGAGAATTAAGCAAGAGAGTTTATAAAAGAGCAAGATCCAAACTTTGGCATTTCGGCCACAACAGTTGAACTTCTGACCCCTATTCTTTGCTAGGGACAGGTCCTAGTCTTCATATAGACTCCCCAAGAAGTAGGGGAGGGGGCTAAAATGGGAATTTGGGGGGAGGGTATTAGGGATTGAACTCAGGGGCACTCAACCATCAAGCCACATCCCCAGCCCTATTTTGCATTTTATTTAGAGAGGGGGTCCCCCTGAGTTGCTTAGTGTCTTGCTTTTGCTGAGGCCGGCTTGTGAACTTGCTRTTCTCCTGCTTCAGCCACCTGAGCCTATGGAATTACAGGTGTCCATCACTGGGCCCCGCTCAAATGGAAATTTTTGATGTCCTCCCCAGCAGAGTTCGGAAGAGAAAAGACATTAGGTCCTTGGCTATCCCCAGCAGCAGCAGTGGTAACCACGCCTGGCTGAGGCTCAGCTTCAGGCCTGTTAGCACAAGAACTGTGATCTCTATTTCTGTGTTTGTCCCTGTGATTCTAARCATCACTTCTTTGGGAATATGCTTCTGTCAGTTGCTATCAACAAGCCATCCATACAGTTCTACTCTGGATATCATTAAGAACAAYTCCAAGAGCTGTGTACATTATCACTCACATGTAATTCCAGATACTTGAGAGGCTGAGGCAGAAGGATTACAAGTTTGAGTCAGCCTGAGCAATTTAGTGAAACCCTGTCTCAAAATAAACTTTAAAGGACTGGGGATTAGCTCAGTAGTAGAGCACTCGCCTAGCATACAGCAGGCCCTGGATTCAATCACCAGTACCATGCACACATGCATGCATGTGCACACACACATACACACACACACACACACACACGCATACACACACACACACAAAAGAAATCTGAGGCATGTCTTGGAGTTCATAAGCTAGGGGCCTGTTTGGTTAGCCACAGCAAGTGGTTATCATTTGTCTAACACAGCACTGTGTGACCACTCTTGAATATCTCTTGTGTCTTACTATTGGCCCCCCACTTCTCATAACCACCATGATGTATGACTTCATGTCTTCATGCCACACCTAGCTCAAAGCTATTTGAAAGGCTAAGATTCACACTCCTCAGTGTAACCACCAAAATGGTCTTTTAGGCTCTGATCCTTAATCTATCCCTGTCCCAGTCCCCTACACACTTCACTTGTGCCAGACTAGTAATCATAACAATGCCTAAGGTCTGTTGAGCTTGTTCTATGGCTGAGAGGAGTACTTTACATTTTTGTTTCGTTCTATAGTTTTTGAAGGAGGAATTATTATATTTTTTTAAAGGAATAAGCTGAAGTTTAGAGAGTTGTGTAACATGATCAGAAGGACTGCTGGAATTTGGAATCACACTGCCTGCAAAGGCATAAAATGCGATCTATGTCATATCATATCTCCAGATGTCATGCCTYTAGATGTTGCTCGTGCTTCTCTGTGGGAAACATTTGCTGTCTCTTTCCCTTTTATGAACTCCTGTTCATCCTTCAAAACTCTCTAAGGCATCCATTGTTTCCTCTTTGAGGCTTTTGTGACAGAGGAATTAAGTCTCTGTTCTGTTAACCATTGCTTCGCTTGCATGCCCACTATTGATTCTCTGCATGGTGTTGTATTTGCTTTTGGATCTCCCCTGCSGGATTCTCAGAGGCCTGTCTCATCCCTGTAATCACTAGGTAACTGAGGTGAAAATTGAGAGTATAACCCCCTGGGAAAATGTTTATCTAAAAGTGGTTGACACCTGCCTGAAAATTTTCCTCTGAAATCATGGRGTGGACTACAAATGAATCAGCCTATGGATTTCATAAGCCCTCTCCGTATTATTCTTCAGCATTACAATACCAGCTTTGTGACAAGTAGTTTTCAGAGGACATTTGCTTTCCTGCAGATTCCTTCATGGACAGTGCTAGAGACTCTACAGTCCTTGCCTGCACTGAGGACTTACTTAGGAAGTGACTTTATGTACTTTCCAAACTCTGGCTGAATCTATGCTTCACCCAGCTTCACAGMAGCCCATAAATGATTTGGACCACTCTCTGCCAAGGGAGTTTTAGGGGGAATCACACAGAGAATTTACAGTATATCCCCTCCCCCACTAACATCCAGTCCTTTTGTTCCCAACAGCTGCARACTTCCCTTTGGGGATCCATGATTCCCTGGCTCTTAGTCTTAGGTCTAGGTAGAGCATATGACCCAGCCTGAGCCAGTAGGACTTTCACATTTCCCTGGGCACGGAGATTAATTCGAGGTTGAGAACGTTCTGCAGTTTCCTCTGATCCAGCCATCCAGATTAGAATGAACTTTAGGATTTTCAGGGAATCTTCTAGAAAGAACTGTCCCCTATTCTCAGGAGACCTCACTTTGGAAGGAGGTGAGGAGATGCTGTAACCATGAGGTTTCCAAAGCAAAGAGAGTTTGTGAGTCTAGAGTCACAATACAAACAAGAAGAACCAAGTAGTAGGGTGAAACCAAGGCCTAACGGTATCACTTTGGAGCTGGATTGGGTTGTGCCTGGAGTCAATTTTGTTTAACTTTTTAGTCATGTGGATCAAGGAATTCTTTTCTGCTTCARTAAGTTTGGTTGGATTTTCTGTCACTTGTAACTGAGAAAGTCCTAACTGATGYAAATCCTTGGGACATTTTCTCCTGGCAGAATTCTAATATGTCCAGAACCAAAAGATTTTTTTCTTTAAGGAACACTTCTCCAAAGATCTCTTCACAGAGTCTTCCCTAAATCAACAGGTAAATGATATCCCCATCTACCAGGTTCTTCAACATAATCCTAGCACTCCTCCTTGAGGGTTCCCTCTTGCTCTTCCCCAGTAACCGCTARTCTAATATACACCTGGCATCCAGCAACTTCTTTCTATATCCTCTACCTCCTCTCTAGTCCAAACCACCATCTTGTCTACCTGGAACACTGCAGCAATCAGAGTGGTCTTTCCCAGCTACAGATCAGATCACATCCTTATTTCTCAGTGTGCTTTAATGCTTTAATTTATTTTGTGCCCTTCAGCTAGCCCTCACCGCTCCCTACCTGCTGGCTTCCTTAAAGTCCCTCCAAAGGAATGTCCTGCCTCTAAGCTCTCCTGAAAAAATCCCCCTTCTCAGCCCCTTTTCCACTTTCCAGCAATGCCTAACTCTAATTTTTCCTCAAGGTCAACTCAGAGAAGATCTCCCCATGCCATAATCTGAATTGGGGTTCCAACTCCCAGCCCTGTTCTTCTTTCATAGCCTTGTTTTCTCTTCAATTGCMCTTAACCACAATTTTTCATGAAATGTGTGTGCTTTTTAATAACATTTGATTCCCTTACTGGGTCTAAAGCTACAGGCAGTAAGGGAAAAGCACACTGCTTTGTCCGCTCCAACTTCTAGTTCCACACAATAACTGGCACATGGCAGCCTTGCTCTGAAAGGTATATTAAGTGAAGAAATCACTTTCTTGGTTTTTGTTTCTTAGCTTTTAATTCTGTTGATGTGTGATGTCCAGGMCAGCATGTCACTAAAATAAAACTTTCTGCAGACCTGCCATGGGTTTCATTGCATGATTACATTTAGCCCATTGCTATAGTTTCAATCTGGAATGTCCCCCAAAAGCTCATGAGTCAAAGGCTTAGTCCTTAGCTTAGGAGGTTGTGAAACTAAGAGGTGGGTCCTAATGGGAGGTCTTTAGGTCATTGGGGGCATGACCTCGAAGGAGACTGTGGGACCCAAGTCTCTTCTTCTTCCTCTTTTTTGCTTCCACAAGGTGAGTTGTTTTGCTTTGCCATATGCTTCCTCCATGATGTACTGCCATAGGCCCAAAGCAACAATGGAGCCAACTTGACTGTGAACTCAAACCACTAACACTGTAAGCCAAAATAAACCTTTTCTTTTTATAAGTTGATTGTCTCAGGTGTTTATTATAGTAACAGAAAGCTAACTAACACATCAACAAAATTTGGATTATAATTTTGGATTATTATAATTTAAGAATCTCTTTAAAGTATAAGAACTTATATCTTATAGATACCACTGTAATCAAATAAAGGAAATCACACTTAGTCTAAGGAAAGATAATAAAAACCACCACAAACTTTTAAATCAAAATTTTTTACCAAGCACTAGGAACTACTCTACAAGTGTGTGTGTGTGTGTGTGTGTATGTGTGTGTGTACATATATATATATATACGTATATATACATATATATTAAATGAGAATATGTACATTCTTATAAGTTATTGCAGATGAAAAAATTAAGAAAGTAAGTAACTTGTCCAAAGCCCGCATCTGCAAAATCTACATGCATGCCGGCTAGTTCCTAACTGCAACAGAAAATTGCCTCTTGGGACTATACATGGAAGTAAGGTAAAAGAGAAAAAGAAAAATCTGGGTTAGGGAAACATGAGACAAGAACATTGAGGCCTAGAAGGAGCAGGAACTGGACTGGGTGCATGGCTGCTTCACTCTGGACCCAGGGACGATTCCTAAGACAGCACAGAGCCAGCCCTACACTCTTGGCTGGAGGCATCATCAGAGAGAAAACTGGAGAAGGGAGATGGCTGCCAAGGAGGTGTCAGCTAATTACACCAGGCCAGTTGCTACTGACAAAGGTTGCCCCACCCAAGGGCAGCTACAGAGGGGAGCCTGGGGCCTGCTCTCTCTCCAGGCCCTGGGACTTGTGAAATGGAGAGACCTAGGAAATCAGTGAATCCCACTCTCCTGAAACCAACTGGCTCAGCTTTGAGATCAGATTCTCTGAGTGAATGTGGGGACTCTGGTCCTCAAAATGACTTTCTTTTTTCTACCAGTAGACACATCAACAGACCTTTTGGCCTATTCTCCCTCCACTGCACGTTCAGCCCATATCCTCTCATGTTCCCCAAAGCCTGAGGCTCCATTCATCCCCAAACTGGACAAGCTGCACAATGTTAGGCAGGATGGTAAAGAGCTGAGACCTCCTCCTTCACCCTCCCAAGCACCTAAGGTTCACAGGAGATCCCTAGCTCAGGAAGATAAGAAAGTTTCCTAGAGACCCTCCCTTCTAAATACCCATGTGCTCATTTTCCTCTTTCTTTTTTTAATATTTATTCTTAAGTTTTAGGTGAACACAATATATTTATTTTACATTTATGTGGTGCTGAGAATCGAACCCAGTGCCTAGTGCATGCTAGGCGAGCGCTCTACCACTGAGCCACAACCCCAGCCCATCATTTTCCTCTTTCTATAACAAGTACCTGGTGCAAGAAACTTCACACATTTTAATCCTCACAGCAACCCTGTGAAGTAGGCTCTATCATTAGCTCCATTTTCCAGATGAGAAAATTGAAGTACAGAGAGACTAATGAATTTGTCCAAAGCCTCCCAGCTAGTAAGGGAGTAGAGCCAGGACTCTGACCCGGGCAGCCATGCTCTTGATCACTGCTCTATATTTATCTCAGTGCATTTTCACCTGACTCAGTCTGCTCAGTGATATTCAAGGGTAAGTGCCAGGAGTAGGCAGCATCTCTCTTGACTCCCCCATGAATCTGCCATTTGGTCTCTATTCTCAAACCCCAGCCCTGATGCTAGTTGTATGGCCTCAGGCCCTGAGTCCTTCTGAGCCTCTTTTCCATCATCTGTAAACTGAAAGCCAGTCAGCAACCCCAAAATTTCCCTTCCCCTCTCTTGAGACCCCACTCCCTCCGGGGAACTCACAGATGCGGAAGTATTCTTCTCCGTAGCTATCCCGGGTCTCTGGAGGAAGCCGTTCCCACAGCTTTTGCATGCGTATCTCTAAACCCTCCTTTCCCAGAATGGATGTCCGGTAGTTCCCTGGCTCAATGATGCTGACCTTCACCCCAAAGTAGTGGAGTTCACGCCTGGGAAATTAGAGTTGCATTTGCTCTGGGCCTCATGATGACAGTCATTAGGGAGATTCACCTCTGGAAGGACCTGTCTTACCAGGAACCTGGAGGTCCCCCCACTCCTGTGCGGCTGTCCCAGATACTCACTGCCTTCATGCAAGTAACCCTTTCCTAAGCTGGTTCAGCAGTCTCTGGGCACTTTGCATAAGGCAAACCCCATAGGGAGGAAGTCAATGGAGGATCTAGGCCAAGATCTTGCCTTCACCAGGTCCTTCCCACTCTCAGCCCCATGCTCAGCACCATAATTGTTGAAAGGGAGGTGGTCTATTCAAGGCTTGCATCCTCCTTCAAGGGTTTATCTMCATTCACCTCTTCTCCTCATCCTTCTTCTCTTGATCTTTGGAGAAGATCTAGCTTCCCTCTTGCTACTGCTTTAGCTCCCTTGTTCCAGAACTGCCCYGCCCCCATGCTGTCACCCCAGCCCTCTCTTCCTGAATTAAAACACCCAAGATCCCCACCCAGGTGGTGTTACCAGGGCCCAGTCACCTGATGCTGTCAGAGAAGGCTTCAACACCAAACTTGGAGACACAGTAACCACCACCAATGACCGCTACACGACCACCAGAGCTGGACATGTTGACCACCCTGCCTCGGGCTTTCTTGACCATAGGTAGCATGTGGAGGGTCACGTCGATCAGTCCCACCAGGTTCACATTGATCACCTTCACAAAGTCTTCCTTGGTCAGCCATTCGTTGGGACCACTGGGCAGGCCCACACCAGCATTATTCACCAGTGCCCAGAGGCCTAAGGATGAGAGGAGAGAGTAAGAACCAAAGAAATCAGTGTCTCTGGGAAAGCACCAGGGACCATTATCCACCTGCTCAGGGTTACCTTTTGGCCGAGTAGGTGTATAAGACACAAGATGGCATGGTTTGGAGCAGGGGTGGGGAGTTACAACAGCCGGAAAAATCATATGCCTTTTACAGACTCATGTTCCCTTGAAGGGGCACTTTTTTTCTGATTAACATAGTCTGTCAACTGGCTGAGGCTCTGTACCAGTCACAACCCAGGCTGCATGTGGCTAATAGCACTGAAGCTATTAGCTCAAAGATAGGAGATACCATTTTCCTACCAATGAATTCAAGTCTGAATTCCATTGTCAATCAGGCTTCCTTTCTCTATTCACCTAAGTGTAAGAAACCAATTCCATTTCACCTATTACCCAAATCGATTCACTTATTCATTCATTCATCTTTCACACATTTATTCATTCCTACACATCTACTCTGTGCCACTTAAAAGGAACTGAACAAGACAAGGTCTTGCCCCTCAAGATGGCAATAAATGCTAAAGAAAAAAGTCAAACAAGGCAGACCAGAGAGAAAAATGTCATATTTATAAGTGTATAAAACACTTGAATAAAATACTTATGAGAAATGTGAAAAGGGCTCTCTTTAAATTGGGTTGCACATGAATGGAGAAAAATTATGGTAAGTTATTTAGGCCCAACCCTGTAGGGCCTCAGGACTGGAGAACCTCAAGATCTAGGCCTGCTTCTAACTCCAGACCTTGGACAGACAGCTTCCTGTCTGGGCCTCAGGTTCTTCATCAGACTTCAGTAGGGAGGTTGTTCCCAATCAGTCCCAAAAGCCTGGTGGGGGAGGGAGCTGCAGGAGAAAGCAGTCCTTTGAGTTTTTTAGTAGAATTCCACTAGGGGAGCATAATACTAAAATTACACTGAAAAAGCCCCTCAATGACCTTCAAGGGCTCCTTCTGGCTCTTTCACCCAAGGATCCAGGGAACCTCACTCCCTGGCTACTTCCTTTTCCCAACCCCATTATACCTCAACCTTGACCAATACCTCAAGGTACTCTGCCAGCACAGTCACTCGCTCCTGAGGGCAGATCTGAATGTGAACATCAATCCTGGCCACCTTCCCCCCAGGTCCCCACCTAAGCCACACCCCCATTCTCCTGTTTTCTTGCCATTTGAGAAACTAAAGGAGATTAATTGATTGGCAGAGTTTGGAATCTTTCCAGCTGGGGGAGACTCTGGCCTTACATAGGAGAAAATGAGTTGGTGAGATCCACAGACCATAAAACCCCAGTGGTCTCTGCCTGTGGAGAAAAGATACACAGCACTACTACCTCTGATTGTCCTGGTAAATGTCTCCAGCAGAGGATGCATTACCTGTTGGGGAACTAGGACAACCTTATTTTTATCTATCTATCTATCTATCTATCTATCTATCTATTTCAAAGAGTAACCAGAGAGGGGCTGGGGTGGTGGCTCAGTGGTACAGCGCTCACCTAGCACATGCAAGGCCCTGGGTTTGATTCTCAGCACCACATAAAAATAAATAAATAAGCAAAGGTATTGTGTCCAACTACAACTAAGAAATAAATATTTTAAAAAAAGAGTAACCAGAGAATAGTCAGAGCAGGGCTAGCAGCTTTAGAACTGTGCCAATTTCATATTCAGGGACACTCAGGAGCAATGAGAAAGCATGTAAGAATTGTCTCCCTTCCCCCACCCCCAGTACTCAGTGCTTCTTAGAGTAAGAATGTTGAATAGGCAGAATAATCATCCCCCAAATATTAGGATTAGGTTCCTAATCCCAGGAACCTGTGACACATGGGGTTACATGGGAAAGGAGAATTGAGGTTGCAGATGGAATTGAGGTAGCTAATCAACTGACCTTAATGGGGAGATTATCCCAGGTTTGCCTGAGAAGCCCAAGAGAATCACAAGAGTCCTTCTAAGTAAAAGAAAGCAGAAGCCAGAGAACCAGAGAGATGGAAAAAGGGTGAAGGGCGTAGGCCAACTTTGTTGGCCTTGAAGATGGAGGAAGCAGCCATGTGCTGAGGAATGCAGGCACCCTCTAGAAGCTGGGTAAAGCAAGGAAATGGATCTCCCCTGCCCCCAGAGGGAGCATAGTTCTTCTGAGCTCTTGAATGTAACCTAGTGAGACCCATTTTGGACTTGTTTCCTCCAGAGTTACAAGATAATAAAYGTGTGTTTTTAAGCCACTGTGTTTGTGTGAATTTGTTATAGCAGCAATAGGAGACTAATACAGCCACTGAGTCATGAACGCAAGTGGCTTGAGGCAGAATGTAAGGAGCTGGCTGAGGAAGCCTGGCAGAGAGAGAGGCTCACCCTTGCTAAGGATGTGTAGTAAGTAAGAGACAAAAAAGTTATTTTCCCAGGAAACTAGCACAGGAAACAATTAATAAATAAGAAAAATAAGTATTGCATTGTGTTGGGTGGCAATAAATGCTAGAGAAAAAAGTAAAACAAGGAGCTACTGTTTGGCTCCTCCTGGGTTCCAGGGTTCTGTTGCTCCCACCTGGACTGAGGCTCTAAACTCATTTCCTTGGGAGTGAGGACTTCCTCTAGGTTTCTGTTTCTACTACAGAACTATCCTGTTCCTCCCTATCCTGCACCCACAACCTATGTGCTGGAAGTTCACTGGGCAGGTCCCCCCATACTCTTGGTCCAGCCCCAGCTCACAGCCTCCTTTCTCAATGCAAGTAGCCAYTCAGATGTAGGCACCAACCTCCATAGTGAGGTAAGGAAGAGATCTGCCTACCCCCTGCCTCTCATAATTAACCACAGAGAATGCCCCCGCTCATGGCATCCAACCTCCTGTCCCCTTGCCTCTGCYCCTAGCCTGAGCACTACAAGAAATATGCTTGAATTTCTATAGGAGATGGTAGGACTACTGATGTTTCCAAGAGACACCTCCGTCTTGAGAGGTTTAAATATACAGAATACATCTTTCCTCCCTTACTTCCTGTCATAACCTCTGCCCTGTCCCTGAGTTTCTGGGAGAGAACCCTTTCATGTGAACAGGACAAACCATGCAGTGCTTTCCAACCTGACAGAACCAGAGCCCCCAGTCCCAGTTCCATGCTCATTCCCTACATCAACTCTCCCACCCCCTTTGGACATCAGTGTCCCTAATACTGTCAGATGATGAGGAAGCAGGGAGGGAGGAAGGGGAGACGGMGAGATGCAGAAATAGTGTAAACTAAGAAAGCCAAAGAATGCTGTTTGCCCCACCTTGCTCGCCCACTTGGTCCCTCACCCACTGGGCTGCTGCCTTGATGCTCTCAGTCTTGGTGACATCCAGTAGGATGGTCTGCAGTTGGTAGGAGGTATCCTGTTGAAGTTTCTGGGCTCCCTCCTCAGTGAGGCAAGCAGCCAGCACTCGCATACCCCGATCAACCAGCTGTCTGGCCAACAGGTTCCCAAAGCCCGAGTCACAGCCAGTGATGAAGACATACTTCTCTGAGAGGTTGCGAACAAGATTGCAATTCTTGAACCAGCGATACATAAAAGAGAGGTCCATGAGTCCTGCCATTGAGCAGTGGGGAGCTGATGGCAAAGAAGAACAGGGCTCAGGAAACAGCAGGAGAGGTTGGTTCTTAGGTCCCTGGTGACAGTCTGCTGGAACCCACAGGTAAGAAGAGCTTCTACTACTTGCAACAGATGCAGGGCCCTGCCTAAGATACTCTGTCATCTTTATAGGTGGTTAATCACCACCAATTAGCCAAGATGCAAGAAATTCAAGTCCAACCTGAAGCATGTCACCTCTGACAGCTCTGGTGATTACCTCCCTCTCTCCCCCTGCCCTGATGGGTGAAGGTGCCAAAAATGGGAAGGTCCCCAGTGGCAATGTGGGTGCCACGAAGAAGTTCACCTGGATGGCATGAGAGGGCAAATAAGAAAGGAAAACTCAGCCTAGGGACCCCTGCCCTGGATAGGGACCCCTGCCCTGGAAAAGCCCCACCCCAGCTCCCCCTCCAGCCTAGGGATCAAAATCATTTGTCATGAGTACAGGCATGTGTATAAATTTAACTTTTATTTTCAGGGAAAGCATGRAGATGAATTCATGAATTCAAAATAAAATTGGGCTATACCCTCCAAACCCCAAGAGAAATTGAAGCCCAGATCATCAACTCTTTGGAGATCTTAAGTGAGTCTCCATCATCAGAGATGATGACAAACAAAGGGTTTTCCCAGRTGGTGTGCCTCCATTGTCCTGAGGCCAGAGGAAGCTGGGCCCTCCTATTGCGGGGATGTGGATATGAGGCCCCACCTACCAGAAAGCAGAAAGACCTGAGATACTCAGGGCCTGGCTTGTGGAGTGATACTCAGGTCATCAGCAAGGAGTCCCCACTGCCTTCCAAACCATTTCAGAATTCCACCTACCCCTACCAATGAAGGGGGCCAAAGACAGAGGGCATAGCAGCTCCCTAACCAGGAAGGTATCTTTCGTTCACCCTCAGGACTTTATTTTAATACTCTAGGTGGTCTGATGAAGCACGAAGACTGAAGGTGGGATGACAGTGGAAGGGAACTCTGAAGCCAGGAGACACAGTGGCTCATTGAATGGAAGTTAGGAGTCAGGGCGATTTGAAGGTAGGGGACCTTGACAAGTAGAACCACAGGTGGCAAGAGAAGCCAGTAGGCGAGAGTTGGGCATGGACAGGAAGGCAGGGAAGGGATCATTTTGATCCAAGCATCACTGAGCCTSAGGTTCAGGCAGATGATGGAAATGCATGGTGAGTTCACAGGGCAGCTGTGAAAAAGGCCTAGGCAGAGTCCTTGGCTCTGAGAAAGAAGAGGCACAGGAGGAGGAGAGGACTATTCCATAGGGGGCTCAAGACTTGGAAAATAACAAGGTTAGGACTTGGAGAGGAAGGAGAAATTCTGGGCAATGGGGCAGAGAGCTCACAGAAAGGCAGGAGGGAAGCTGGTAAAGCAAAGGAATAAGGAAACCAGGTAGGTGTGTGTAGTGAGGGGGCCACACCTAGGATTGCATAAGAAGCAAGGACAGAATGATGCTGGAGCCCAGGGTGGTTTCTTGGCTCAACCTCCAGGGTCACCTTTCATTGGGATGAGCCTGGTCACAGTTCACACCTTTCCTGTTCCAAGAGTCTGACACAGAAATAAACCACAAGTTCCCRAGAAGGAAAGGAACTCAGGTTTTAGCTCTATGTTGCACTATTTACCAAATCTGGCCAGCCCCCAAAGCAGATAAAGCAGGTGTCTCATCTTGGTTATTCTGAACTGAGGATGATGGGAGTACGTGTGGAGTTAGATCACAAACCCATCTCTGAAAAGCAGACCCAAAGCACATAGATGATGGAGGAGGGAGTGGTGGCAGGCAAACCTGACTTACTTCATACCTTCCCCACAGTACAGCGGATCTGGAAAGCATCCCCCAGTCACTTTTTGCCCAGTTATGGCTGGGAAGACTTAGATAATATCCCCCAAGCGCTGAGCAGGCCCAAGGACAGTGAGCTTCCCTGTTTTTGAAGATGCAGGTGAGATCTGGGAGTTGGCTCTGGCCTTGGAGAAGGATAACGMAGAACTGGCCCAAAGCAGGCCTGGGTCTGATCCAGTCATTTCCTGGAACTTTCTTCCTGCTAACTGCTGGCTAAGGCAGTATTCTGCTGGGTTTAAAYTGAAAAGGCAGGCACTGGAAGCAGATGGTGTGAGGGCTGGGGGACCACATGCTAGGATGTGAATGCTTCCCACTCTCGGATGACAGGGGACCCTGATGAGCTGCCACCTGAGGCCCAGAGAGAGTCTTGTGGTTACCCTTCCACCCACTCCATTCCCATAAGGAGAAAAGCCCGAACCTCCTCCAGCTCGTTTTCACCTGGGAGTACAATGTGTGTACACACTAGGAAGTGGGCTCAAGGAAGAGCAGGCAAGGACTGAACCCTGCCCATGATGCTCATGCCTCCTCAAAATGTATATTCCAGGATTGGGGTTGTGGCTCAGTGGCAGAGCGCTTGTCTTGCACATGTGAGTTACTGAGTTCGATCCTCAGCACCACATAAAAATAAATAAACAAAATAAAGATAATTGTGTCCATGTATAACTAAAAAAAAAATCTTAAAAATGTGTATTCCTCAGTGTGGATGGTGGGCCACGAGCCTCAGAGCCTTGAATGACTGCTCAGAGAAATAGGATGCCAACATATGCAGTCAGATCTCCATTTCTTGACTGCAAGAGGTGATTCAATCTTCATAAAATTCCCAGAGTCCTGACTAATGTTCCAGGAAAAACTTGGAGCAGAGGTTGGGGGGGGGGTTGACCTATGATCCTGGAGACTTGAGCTTATCCTTCCCATCACTCTATTTTCCACTTCATGACACATCACCTTCACCCAGCACCCCAACTAGACCCTTCCAAGCACCCAAGTCTTGGTTTCACAGATCTTGACCAACCTTGGAGAGTTCCAGAAGACCATGGCTTCCACCAGGCAGGTGGGCATGCAGTTTAAGGTGAGGTAAGGGAGCTTGGTGCCCCAGTCAGGTGAGTACTTGGTGTATATGGTAGTGGTAGGGGAAACATGTGGTCAGTACATATTCCATTCAGTCTGTCACCAAGGACAGATTCAACCTGCTTTTTGTCAAATGTTTTCAAATATGTTGAGGTCTGCTTAGGATGAGAAAAGGTACTGAATGTACTTGTATATCCCTTTAGTTCCACTTAGATCTCTAAATTAGTAGGAAAGTTTCTAAGAATTACTGGCCCACAATGATATGCCCCAGACCTAATCTATCCACGTTTCCCTATGAATGACCCAAAACTTACCCTAGGAACAACTGTTCCACACTCAGACACATCTGGCTGTCATTCTGGGAATATCTTTGTTGCACAAATTAAAGGTTTCTGCCAACAAAACTATGAACATGAAAATCAGCTATCTTCAAACCTAACTATCTGGCCATGAGTCTACCATGTCTTCCCTCTCTAGCTTTAGTTTATTCTTCAAAATGTTGAGGGTTTAGATGAGATAGTGCCCCCAATTATAATAAGCTTGTACTAGGTGACCAGCTGGCCACAGCACTATAGGATGGGGTTAAATAGCCTTACTTTGTGGGTGAGTCAGAACATGAATGATTGACCTTAAGGATGGAGGTGCAAATGATGAACCCAAGTTTCCAGATAAGAGTCTGCTTCTGTCCCCACTGTGTACAGTTCAATCACAAGATACAAGAAACTTCTCACCATAGATTCTCCCTGACCTTTGGGCTAGTCCTGTCCCATGCCTCCTGTAAAACCCCCACAAGCCTCACAGTGTTGGTTTTGTTAGTCTTGCAGGAGGCTGGTTCAGTAATAGCCAATTTTACCCCAAAAAGGAAAGTTCCCTGTTGCAAGACAGAAAAGCAAATGGCAAGGACTTCAGAGACCTTGGAAGGTGTGTCAGTTAGGTTTTCATTGCTGTGACTAAAATTCATGACAAGAACAACTTACTTAGAGGAGGAAAAGTTTATTTGGGCTCATAGTTTCAGAGGTTCAGTCCATTGTGGGCTGACTCCATTGCTCTGGGCCTGAGATGAAGCAGAACGTCATAGTGGAAGGGCATGGCAGACAAGTTCCACTCCCCTTGTGGCAGCCAGGAAGTAGAGAAAGTGGGGAAGATGAATCCTTCCAGGGCAAACCCCCAGTGACCCGCCTCCTCCAGCCATGCCCCACCTGCCTACAGTTACCACCCAGTTAGTCCATTCAAACTAGGATGGGTGATTATGTGCAGCTCTCATAATCGAATCATTTCATCTCTGAATATTCCTTCAATAACACAAAATATTTTAGGGAATATCTCATATCCCAGCCATAACATTTCATCCCTAGACCATCTCACAATGCAAAATGCATTTATGTTTATCTTCAAGAGTTTCCATAGTCTTAACAGTCCCAGCATAGCCCCAAAGTCCAAGTCCAAAGTGTCATTTTAGATTCAAGTCAAACTCTTGGCTGTGAATGGTACACCACCTTTAAATTCAGCTTCACTCAATCTCAGAACTTGGGCAAAATGTAGATAAGTTCTTTGCCAGAATGTAACACAATGGTCTCTAATCCAGTTTTCTATAGAGTCCCTATTCTTCTCTGAAACCAGGGGAGCACAATCTATACTGCCTGTATTCCTATTAGCATTCTGGTCTTCTGAGTTCCCACTAGGATTGCCCACTAAGCACTGTATAAAAGATTCCAAGTCTTCTCCATCATGTGTCAACAAACTTTTCCAAACTCCTCCCACAAACCCTTTCCAAAGGCTTCTGAACCACATGGTCAGTCTAGTCACAGAAATGATCTCACTCCTTGATACCAATTTCTGTGTTAGTCAGGTCTTCATTGCTGCAACCAAAATATATGACAAGAACAATTTAGAGAAAAGGTTTACTTTGGCTCATGATTTCAGAGTTTCAGTTCATGGCTGACCGACTCCATTGCTCTGAGCCCAATATGAAGTAGAACATCATGGTGAAAGGGCATGGTGGAAGCACACTGCTCCACTAATAGTGGCCAGGAAGCAGGAGGTGGGGAGGGGACTGCATGGAAGATGAACCCTTCTAGGGAACAACTCAATGACCTACCTCCTCCAGCCATACTCCACCTGCCTACAGTTAGTTACCACCCAGTTAGTCTATTTAAACTAGGATGGACTAATTAGGTTACAGCTCCCATAAGCCAATCATTTTACTTTGGAATATTCTTGCATTATTAACACAGAAGATTTGGGGGGATATCYCCTATCCAAACCATAAGAGAACAAAAGACAAAAAGCTAAATAAATTCAATGAAAATTCCAAACAGAATTAGAATGAGATAAGCTAGGAGGCCTGGGCATGAGAAAATACAGCAATGGGGGAAAATCATGATGGCATTGCTTCTCTGTGCTTTTTTTTTTTTTTCTAATACTGGTGATTGAATCCAGGGTTGCTTTACCACTGAATTACATCTCCAGCCCTTTTTATTTTGAGGCAGGTTTTCACTTAGTTGCTATAGCTGGCCTCAAACTTGCAACACTCCTGCTTTCATCTCCCAAATCTCTGGGATTATAGCATGTGTCACCACAGCCCAGCACTTCTGTATGTTTGAATGATGTTCCAAGTATTTTGTATATGCTAGTTTACCTCTCTAAATACTACCTGTTCTGCTTCAAGGCACCAATTAAGAGCTATCTCCTGCCAGTTCCTCACATCCAATGAATTATAAGACTTTGCCCTCTGCACTCCTTAGTCTTCTTCTTCTCCTCTCCTGCCCCAGAAAGTTCCCCAACCTTCTCTCTGCTGGGATCCTGCAACTGTCATCTTGGGAACATCTCTGGCTTCAGTCTTAGCTTCCTCACACGCAGGGCCACCCTCCACCCTGCAGTCAGCAGGGTCCCTGGATTCTGATTGGCTCAAGTGGCTCCCCTGCTCCAATTCCCTCTCAGGGGTTGCACTGCCCACAGCATAAAGCACATACTGCCCCTCAGGCCCTCCCTCCATAAACCCTTCATGCCTACCTCCCCAGCCTTTCTCCAGCCTATCTCAAGTTGGCAGGGAGGGAAAGGAAGCAGTTATTACTTTAAGTCCCCCAAACAGCTGTGGAGTTTTTCCAGCAAGCACTCAGGAGGCATCCCCTTCATAGAGGAAAGAAACCAGCAGACACATCAGGAATTTGGGTGATACTTCTGTCTCCCATACATTTCTTCACCTACTGGATGGCTTCAGTGATGCGGTCTGTCTTGGTGACATCCAGAGAGGTCACCATTTCCATCCTGTCTGATGTCTGGTCTCTCAACTGCTCAACTGCCTCTTCCATCAGAAATGAAGGCAATACCCTCAAGCCTCACATGCCCAACTGCCTGACCAGCAGGCTCCCAAAGCCTGAGTCACAGTTCATGATGAAGTCATACTTGTCTTAGAGGTGGCTCACCACCTGCATCTCCTGGTACTAGCAAAGAGGGCAGCAGAGACCCAAGGAAATTGTCAGATGAATCACGTGGCTTTACAGGGGACAGATGCAGATATGCTGGGATGAAACAGATTCTACTTCTGTCATAGAGGAGGACATAGACCAGAGGGTTGTAGTAGGCAGGCCAATACCAGGTACTCTGGCATGAACTCCTCAAGTTTTTTTACTGTCGATCTACATGGATCAGTTCCAATAGAGACCATTGGATTTCCAAAGAATGTCTTGATATAAGGACTTTCTTCCTAACCACTTCTGATTTTCCCACTCCTTAGTGATCCCCAAATCCCCCATCTCCACCACACTCACACACATTGGAACCCTTCATACAGAGTCTCTCTGTTGTTGTTGTTTTGTTTTGTTTGTTTGTTTGTTTGCCTGCTCGAGTCCTAGTTCTGGGTCTTCCTGGGCAGCAGAAAATTTTTAATAGAAGGATACATTTTATTTATTTTTATTTTTATTTTTTTTAAGAGAGAGAGAGAGAGAGAATTTTATTTGTTTTTTAGTTTTTTCAGCGGACACAACGTCTTTGTTTGTATGTGGTGCTGAGGATCAAACCCAGGCCGCACGCATGCCAGGCGAGCACGCTACCGCTTGAGCCATATCTCCAGCCCAGAAGGATACATTTTAAATTAGGACACACATGGGTTCCAAACCCACCTCTACCACCAACTAGCTACCAACTTGGATAGTTTTCTAAGCTCCTTGAGCCTAGCTCAGCATCCAGAATCACTCCTTAGAAAATCAAGTGATCATTATTCTCTCTAGGACTACAAGAAAAAGACCAAAAGAGTAGATAAGAATAGGTCCCTCTTTTCCCTGGGAAAAGGAAATGGGAGATTCCCAAGGAGAAATCTGACATCAGAAGTAAAGTAAAGGGGGATCAACTGAATAACTGTCTCTCAGATGTAGTCAATGAAGAATTTATCCCTGAATATTCATTCTAAGATATATTGAAATAAAAGTCAAAACATCATGTTACTCAACAGGAAGTAGTTGTGATTTGTGCAGTAAGAGGAAACATCATTTTAGTTGACAGGAGATTTTTGTGATACACACTGTAAAGGGAAATTGAGAGCATTGTTTCCAAGTTGATAAAACCACATAAATTTAGTCAAATGAGTCTAACATTTCACAACAATTTGTCTTCCTTTCTTGCTCTTCACTTTATATTTGTTCAACCAGGACAAAATAATTCTCTACAGAAATTGAAGTTACCCACCCTAGTGTAGGCCCAAGTGCCAGCTATAGCAGCAACTGTATTCTCTGTGACTTCCTTAGAGCATAAAAATAGAGGAGGAGCCAGGTGCAGTGGTGCTCGCCTGTAGTCCAAGAAGCTTGGGAGGCGGAGACAAGCAAGGCCAGCCTCAGCGACTTAGCAAGGCCCTAAGTGGCTTAGCAAGGGCTGAGGATGTGGCTCGGTGGAAAAGTCCCCAGGAATAAAAGAAAAAGAAAAGAAGGAGGAGGAGGAGGAAGAAGAGGAATAGTCAGTGGCAGTCACATTTTCAGAGAAATGTTGGGTTTKGGGTTTTGTGAAAAATCTTTCTTTCAAAGAGAGACCAACAAGGTGAGCACATTTCCACAAACAGCTGTTCTTGCAGCATGTCTTCCAGTCCACCCTAAGCATGAGTGACATAAGGAACACGGAGAAGCCAAGGACAACAAACTATATTTGTCCAAGAAGTCAGTGGAAGATAGGTTTGGGTGGGGGAAAATGCTAGGCTGCACTGTCTTGTGATAAATGTCTATCCATTGACAAATGAAATGAATTTTTTTTCCTCAAAAATAAACCACAGAGGGCTGGGGCTGTAGCTCAATGGTAGAGTGTTTGCCTAGCATGTGTGAGGCGCTGGTCCTCAGCATAAAAAATAAATAAATAAAGGTATTGTGTCCATCTTCAAATAAAAATATTTTTAAAAATTTAAAAGAAAACATGAAATTTGAATTGCAAGGTTTAAAATAATTGAGAAATTGGACCCTCTAGGGAGGGATTGGATCATTTGCATCATCCAATTCTTCCATCTGAAAGGGGGAAGGTAAGGTAATGGGGGCTGGGAAACCACCTACAGGAATGACACTCCCAGAGCTACTGAAAGGGAAGAAGAAATGACTTGCACAAGGCAGGCATAACAGTTTTTACATTTCACATCCTGAACAGCAGCCCTGGTTACCCATCACATTTTCTTCCTCCTCCTGTGGGGCCGCTCCTGCCTGGTCACACATCCAGAATCCAAGCCCTTCAGACACTGAGTGACTGAAAGCAGAAAAGACTCAGTTGAACACACACCACTGAGACAGCAGGGTTTCTTGAGCCTCAGCCAGCCATGGACAGCCCTGAGCCCTAACCACGGGAAAAGTGTTTGTTCAGTGTGTATCCAGCATGGCTGATACGAGAGAACTTCCCCTCAGGAGACCAAAGACAGCTAGAGCCTGGACCCGGTAACTACTGTCCATGGAAGAGCCCTCAGCGTGAGGGGGAAGATGCCATTTCTCAACAAGGCCTGGGGGAAGCAGGGCAGGGAGGCAGAGAGGTGGGTAGGGGCAAAAGAAACTAGAGTTTCATAGCCTCTTAGCACCTCCCAACAGTCCACATTTATCACGTCTCTGATGGATAAAGAATAGGAGGAGATGAGCTTAAAGCAAGAAGCTTCCTGCAGAAACGAGAGGCTCAGCTATATGAAGAACAGTCCTGTATGGATCCTGGGGGCTCTCCCCAAGGGCTAAGCACTCCTTGTCAACAGGGCACTGACAGCATCTAGGCAGAGCTACCTGCTAAGATTACGGGAACTCAGCCGAGCTACAAGGAAACCACTTTCTCTTACATCAGGCCAACCCCACCCACACCCCTTCCTCCATGCAGAATGGAGCTTCTGCTGAAGGGGAGGTGTGCCAGAGGAAAAGCAGAACTGGATAGGACCAGAAGTGGGGCTCATTGTGCAAACCCGTTCCCAGCCCTACTTGGTCTGGGTTGGGGACCCCCAGAAATGAAGGGACACACATTTCCTGATAGGACCAAAGATCTTAGGGTTGAAGACTTGAGGTGGGGTCTCAAAGACCTGTCCTCACAGAAGGCCAGCACAGCAAAGGGAAGGAGTGAGGTAGCCTCTGGTGCCATCCTGTGCATTCTGGTGAGGTGGGCTCATGTGCCCTTCACAGATCCATCCAAGTGGACCCAGACCCTCATCCAGGAAATAAGTCAGGAAGGAGGAAAGAGGAAAGCTCTGCTGAGAGTCTGGAACGAAGGCTTGGACTGCTTTTCTTGATACCTTTGAGTCACAGTCCATGCTTGAGGCCATAGGTCTGACCATTGTGTAGCCAGAATCCCAGTGGAGCTCAGCATGAGGGTCAGGGACTTCTTCACACTTCCTTCACCCCCTGAAGAGGGCTCCTAAGAGTGAATCTAAACATCCTGAACATCAGCCCCACCAGGAGAAAAAGTGAATCAGTTTTAGTTTAGTGTGTCCTGTGCATTGAATGTGCTTCATGTGTGGAAGGGGTGCTGTTATGGTTTGGATATAAGGATATGGTTTGTTATAGAGTTCCTGTGGCAATGCAGGATGTTTGGAAGTCAAGTGATTAGATTGTGAGAACTAATTATGACCTAATCAGTCCATCCTAGTTTGGACGGACTAACTGGGTACTAACTGTAGGCAGATGGGACATGGCTGGAGGAGACAGGCCACAGTTGGAGGATATGGGCCACTGGGTCCTGCCCTGGAAGGCTTCATCTTCCCCGTGGCCCCTTCTGCCTCCCTCTCTCTACTTCCTTACTGCCATGAGGGAGCAGCTTCCCTCTACCCTGCTCTTCCCTCACCATAAGCCCAGAGCAATGGAATCAGCTGTCTATGGACTGAGACCTCTGATGCCCTGAGCCAAAATAACTTTTCATCCTTTAAGTTGTTCTTTTTGGGTATTTTGGAAATGCAAAAACTGACTAAAACAGGTGCTATCTGTGTGTGTACACATGTGGAGAGGGTTACAAAATTTARGAGGCTTCAGATGAAAGAGTGAGCTCTTGCTCTGCCATTGAGGGGACAACATGGATTGACCATGAGTGAGCTGACATAAGGGGGTTCAGAAACTCAAAGCTCCTTGAGGAGTCTTCTTGTTTATTCATCTTTGTTTCTTCAACATTCAGATRCTGGACCCACATGACAAATTTTTTAAATGAACGGCACTCAAAACATCACATGGCATCCATTAGTATGCAGAATTTTAATATTTTTTGTGTATCTGTTGAAAGTAAAAATGAATAGCCCTGCAATATTAGATATCACTGTTTTCACAATGGACACAGGTCACTGTATCCATTTACACTGTGTCCTTGTGTGAACCAATTACACAAGATTCTCTAAAGGGTCCAAATCCTCAAGGCAAGAAAACCAAGACTCCTGGGGTGATACTACCCAACTCCAACGACTCCTCCCAGGACTCTCCATCACTTTCTGCAAATGCTCTCTCTATTCAGCCCCGACTCCAGACGACCATCACTATACGGACAACACATAGAGCTGGGTCTTAGGAAGTTGGGGATAATTCAAGGCTTTCTTGTCCAGCATACAGGAGGTGCTCAGCAAATGTTGAGCAGAAAAGGAAAGACCAGGGTCCAGAAGTGACTCTCACTCCATGCCACCAGAAGGAAGAGGGAGTAGAACAGCAGTGACAGACTTGAGAAATGACAGGACAGAATTGCAGTGAGTTTAAAATCAATGTAGGTCACTGAGGGTCACAGAGAGGTGACTGGTGAGGGGAGGGAAGTTTCAGCTACCCAGGAAAGGGATCTGAGACATGCCAGATCCTCTGAACATCTCCACACTGGCCCATCTGCTATCTGATCTTGTGAATCAAGGTATTTGGAAGTCTCAGAAGGGAAACAAGTCCCTCTCACCTCTGTGGCAGAGAGGATAGAGAGGGCAGGGATTATACCACTTCCCTCTTCTGATCCCACCTAAGGTCATTCCTTTCATCCCCTATTCTCCATGAAGGCACCTGACTCTTCCTCCCAGTGGTCCACACCACATTTTTCCTCATGCCCTTAGTTCAAATCACTGGGCACTGGTGAAGTTTTTGAATTTTATTCTAAAACAAAACTAATCAAAAGAAAGCCATGRTTTCAAGACAAATAAAAAATTGATTTCTGAGTCCTCTGCCAGGATCTGTATTGAGGACACCTCCTCCCCACCAATGCCTACAGACTTGGCTCCTAAGACTTGAGGGTATAGGTTGGCTGCTTGTTGCCCTCCTAAACCCCCTCATGAGGTGCACAGATGATATCAGAGGATGAGTGCCCCTGCTTTCTCCAGGCCATCTGCATACTATGTGAGGATATAAACTAGCCAGGGATAATGCATAGCCTGAGGAGAAGGACAGGAGGACAGAAGGCACAGCAGGTGTGAGCTGAGCATCCTCTCACCTGCTTACAACTTTCCCACCTGTGTAGATTCCTCATGGTTGGTCAAAAGGCTTAGAAACTTGAACAGATACCAAAATCAATTGGACATCAATGAGTGCTATGAAGTTCCTATTCCTTAGCAGAATTCCTTGAGTCTTTTCTCCTGATTTACCAGTTGTGAGCGATATCTTAGCAGAATCCTTTGAATGAAGAAAGTAGGATAGATAACATAGTGACATGACTGCTCCCTCCCTCCGCCCTAGTTTCCTTCCCTTGAAGCATCCCCTCCCTCACACAGTACCCAACTTCCCACAACCCATGCACTCCAACGTTGACTTCACAGGGTCTTTTCAGGCTTTGGAGCATTCCAGGAGATTATGGCGTCCACTAGGAAGGTCGGCAGGTAGCTCATGGGGATGTAGAAGAGCTTGGCATCCCAGCCAGCTGAATACCGTGTGCGGGGGTAACAGGCAGTCAGWGCATGCTCCATGCAGTTTGTCACCAAGGACAAGTCCTCTGAGCACATGTTCTCCAATGATGTAATTGTTTTCATGTCTGTTCAGAATAAGAAATGATCCAAATTATTTCTACCTCCCAATACTCCTGCTCTGGGATCAAGTTAGGGAGGAAAGTATTTCTAAGAATTCATGCCCTCCCTTTTCCTGTAAGCAGCCTGAGTTGACCTATGAAAATGGTGCTCTACTCTCTTGACTCAGGAAACCCCACAAAATCATGCAAATTAAGAGGTTCAATCTTTGTGTTCACTTGAAGAACATCCATAAAACTATCCAAGCCATCAAGGATATGCATATCTGAAAAGCCACTAAGCATCTGAAAAATGTCACTTCAAAGAAGCAAGGTGTGACTACACAACCAGTGTAACTCCGCATCATGTACAACCCCAAGAACAGGAAGTTATTATACTCCATGTATGTATAATATGTCAAATATGCTCTATGTCATGAACATCTAAAAAGAACAAATGAAGAAAAAGAAGGAGAAGGAGAAGAGGAGGGAGAAGGAGGAGGAGGAGGAGAAGTAAAAGAGGAGGAAGCAGCAGCAGCAGCAAGGTGTGCCATACCAGCATACAATGGTGACATTGGAAGTGTGCCTTCGCCAAAGAGTCGGGCTGGATACAGGGTTGGTGGCCCAAAAAGAGTGCTGAATTTTTGTTGCACATGCTTCAAAATGCAGAGAGGATGCTGAATTTAAAGGCTTAGATGTAGATTATCTGGTTATTGAACACATTCAGGTGAATGAAACACCCAAGATACATCACTGTTTCAGAGTTCATAGTCAAATTAGCTCAAATGAGTTCTCCTGCCACATTGAGATAACACTTACTGAAAAGGAACACATTGTTCCTAAACCAGGAGAAGAGGTTGAAGGTTGAAGGTTGAATGAAAGAAAAAAAGATATCCCAGAAGAAACTGAAGAAACAAAAAGTATGGCATGGGAATAAATTCAACATAAAATAAATGCAAATAATAGCAGGGGGGTGCAAAGGAATTCCTGCTCTCCATCTACAGCAGCCATGCCCCAAATCTAATCTGTCCCAGGTCCTAGGAGGTGCCATACAACCTAGCCTCAAGGAACAGCTGCTCCCCACTAAACCACCCCTGCCTCTGTTTCTGGGAATATCTGGGCACATTAACTGAAGGTCTCTCCCAAAACTAAAAATAAATCCAAGCATGTGRAAGGCAGCTGTCTCTCATGCCAGCTGACCATGAGTACAATAGTGTCTTTTCTCTCTGGTTTTACTTTTGTCCTTGTGAAAATGAGGCTTTTAGATGAAACAGTGTCCCACGTTTTAATAAGCCAGGGCCCCTCCTAAAGTGACCAGTTGCCCATGCAGCACCAATGGTATGGGATTAACCATCTCACTTGGCTTGGAGACAGACCTGATACATGGGAGGCACTGATGGTAGTAGACTAAGGATTCAAGAAGAGGGTTTGTGTCTCTCCCCACCTACTAATGAGTACAGAGCTTACTCACAGGATGCCAGAAACTTCTCTCCATAGGTCTCTTTGACCTCTGAGCTGGCCTGGTTCCATTGATTCTTTAGGGTCTGTGAGAATTTCTCAAGAGGTAAAATGTTGGTTCTGAAGAAACCAGGCTCAATTATAGCCACCTTCACCCCAAAATAAAAGAGGTCTCTCCTGCAAGGAAGAAAATCAGAGGGCAAGGATGTCAGAGGCCTCACAAGACAAAACTCAAACAATAAATAATTATACTCCAATGTAAGATTGGGTGAAAGAAATTAAAAAACTTGGTATATAGTATATATAACACCTGAGGCTAAAAATTGTGATGTTGGCATTGCCTTCCTATGTTTGAATATTATTCAAGACTTTTGCATATACCAGCTTTATTGCTCTAAATACTGCCTATTCTGGCAACAATTAAGAGTAATCTCCTGCCAGTTCCCTCACATCCAATGAATTATAAGTCTTTGTCCCCCTTGTCATCTCCTCTGTACTCCTCAGACCCTTCTCCCTCTCCTACCCCTGGAAGCTTCCCAGCCATCTCCCACCTGGAACCTTGCAACTGTCTTCTAGGGAGCATCTCTGCCTTCAGTCTCAGCTCCCCCGACTTGGGCCACCCTTCACACTGTAGTCAGCAGGGTCCATGGATGCCAACTGGCCCAAGTGGCTCCCCTACTGTAATCCCTCCAAGGTGTTGCATTGCCCACAGTACACACCTGTCCAGACCCCCAGGTCCTCTATAAACCCACTGTGCTTCCCTGCCTAGCCATGCTAATGCCAGACCCAGTCTTGTCTTTCTTCCCCAGGAGAACCCCTTCACTTAGAAGGAGTCAGCTAATGCTCACACTGGGCCTGTCTGATGAGGTTTTCCCACCTGGGAAGCCCTCCTACTCTTCATTATGGATCTTCAACCCTCAGCTAAGGCCCCTTCTATAGGAACCTCTACAAATCTGGTGGCTGCCATGGTTAGTGTGGCTGATTTAGTCACAACTGCTCTGAGGGATGGTAATGATGGAGTATCTTCTCTTCCCCTCTGTACCAGCTATCAGAGATTCTAGGTCAGAAACAAAACCTTACTGTTGTGCTAGGATTCAGTTATTATGCGCTTGGACAAGAGCCCCCACAAATACCCCTTCAATAGACTAAGATGCTGACCCACCCCACTATAAGAACTCCCTGACACTGAATGTAATAGTGGTCATGTCTGTGCTCTAGACCAAATTATCCCAGTTCCAATTCTGCCTCAGAGACTTTCTGCCTGTGGACCCTCCTCCATGGTAAGATTTGTTTAACTTCATTGAGGCCTAAAGCCTTGCCTTTACCCAAGACATGGAATGGTGTCTCCCAGTTCAGATGGCCTAAATTCAGAAGGCAGAAAGTGAGAGAGTCACAAAAACCAGAGAGGGAGGGTTCTCCAAGATGGGGCCTCCAATACCTGAGGCTGTCAGAGAAGGCCTCTACGCCGTATTTGGAGATGCAGTAGCCGCCACTGCTGAGTGACACCCGGCCCAGGATACTGGCGACATTGACCACGCGGCCCCTCGCCTTCCTCACTAAGGGTAGCAGGCTCAAAGTCACCTCGATCACTCCCAGCAGGTTCACCTCCAGTACTCTCACAAAGTCCTGTTTGGTCAGCCACTCATTGGGAGCAATGGGTAAGGCAATGCCGGCATTATTCACCAGGCCCCAGAGCCCTGGGGATAGTGGGAAGACGAGAGAACCACACTGTATTTTCCCTGGGTGGTGCAGACACAGTTGTGTCTCAAGTTCACACTGTAGCAGACACAGAGCTCTGACAGGCGTGGACAAGGAGGGGTGGGGCAAGCCACAACTGCTGGGGTGGGGCTGCAGAAGCCAGGAGCCACTAGGCGATAGAACTGATGCCCTTCCTCCTCCTTCTGTGATTCTTCACGGCCCAGCTCCCTGCAGTTGCTTCCTATTTGATGATTGCAAAAAGGGATGTGGAAGAAGTCCCGTGCATCCATCACTCTGGAAACACAGAAACTACACCTGACCTCTTAAAATTATTGGCATCCTTACAGACATTTTATTCTCTTACCTACATTTTCTATCTTTTGGGCAGCTTAAACTAAGTGCTCCCCCAGGGTCTATGGGTTAAGAAAGACAGGAAAAGTGGGAGGGGGAGAAATGGGAAGAGAGGATGCAGAGGAAAAGGTGAAAGGGAAAAGGAAGAAAATGCAAAACTAATAACTGGGTAGAATTTGGTTGAGAATAAAAGAATTGAAGTCCTAGTTGGGGGATAATTTGGAAAACAGTTGGTGTGTTTGTTCTCAGGAAGCTGACTTTGAACCCTCCTGCGCTGATATTGAGCAACTTTCCTGGGGAAATGCTTGTGAAACCCACAGAGCAGCTTTGGGAGGAGACGAGGCTGCCCCACCCTACCTACAGCACCCAAGTCCCACCCTCTGCCCCAGAAAAATCACACCCTCTCTTCCCGCTCACCCAGAAGGCCACCCTCACTCCTCCCCAGTCCCCAGTTCACTACTCTTAAAGTTAACTACTCCYGAAGACCCCAACCTCACCTCTAGGATCAAACGGCATTTCTATACATTCCTATACTACAGATCGCCTGCAGCATGGGCAGGAATCTGTCAATTTAGGGCAAGTGGTGGTGCCTGTTGATCTGGAAAACTTGGTGGGGTGGGGGAGCCGTGTCCCTCCTCAATCCTTCCTTGCCCTTGTGGGAATGCATAATCTTTTATCAAGATATTTCATTCCTAAGAACCCAAGGATATAAATTTTTAAAAATTTACTAAAACAGCATTTATGACAAAGCAATTTTAACATACTACCCTGAGCTATGTTCCAATAAGTGGGGTGGTGTCAAAGGATACCATGTTTCAAATCATTAAATATAACCATTTGAAGAAATTTTTCAGCAAGTGGTAAACTACTCATCTTTTTTAAGTGAAAAATACAATCTCATATGTTTAAAAATGTTGAAAGTATTTATCTCTAGGTGGTGAGATTATAGATTAATTTTGTTGTGGTTTTATGCATTCTAGTACTTCTGACAATATTTTATTTTGCACTGACCCTTAGGAAAAAAAAAAGARAAAAAAAGGAAATCAACATTGCTTTCTTCTCCCTAAAAACACAGACAAAAGAATGTAGTAAAAGAAAGAAAAAATTACCCCTTCCTAGTTCATGACTTTTCTGAGCCTGTCCTTTTCCTCACATCCTGTTCTGAACACAGGAATGTCCTCAGCTCTCTAGATGGAGGAGGATGGATGGCTGATAAGAAAAAATTACAGTGCTGATACATGAGCCTGGCTCTTCCTGCATAGGGCTCCAGCCTCTAGCATTCCTATAAAAAGGTACCATTGCCAATCCAGTACTCCATATCTAGCCATGCAGCCCCTCGGCTTAGACAGGAAGACAGAGGACAGAGAAATTCTCAAGGGCAAATTCTCTTCAGGGTACCTTCTCACCAAGTCTAGAGAATTCCAAGGATGGGATAGAATGGAGATAGAATGGCTCAAGCAGGCATGCTGGGGAGGGAAAGGAAGTAGATATAACTTCAAGTCCCCAAAACACTTGTGGAGCCTCGCCAGGGAGCACCCAGGAAATGTCCCTACACAGAGAAAAGAAACCAGCAGACACATCAGGAATCTGGGTGGTACCTCTCTCTCCCACATGCTCCTTCACCCACTGGGTGGCTGCAGCAATGCTCTCTGTGTTGGTAACATCCAGGGTCACCGTCTCCAGCCTCGCTGATGTCCGGTCCCTCAGCTGTTTGGCCCCCTCCTCTGTCAGACATGCAGCCAGCACCCTCATGCCTTGCATGTCCAGCTGCCTGGCCAGCAGATTCCCGAAGCCCGAGTCACAGCCTGTGATGAAGACATACTTGTCTTGGAGGTGGCTCACCACCTGCCTCTCCCTGTACCAGCGCAGAAGGTAGTACAGGCCTACAAGGACCACCAGGGAGAGCCACATGGTTTTGTAGAGGACAGGCACAGATGCTGAGTAAAATAAGTCTGGCTTCTGTTCAGACAGAGGATGGGAAGAAGTAGAACACAGAGCTGTGGCAGGCAGGACAGCCTCCAGGTACTTTGGCAGAGAGGCTTTCCTTTTCTCCCTGATCCTGCTCCACCTCTGTGCTCTTTGAACTGCTTTTGATGATGCTGATATGTAGATGCCTTTGGATATCCAGAGTCCTGTTCCAGAGAAAACATTTCTACTCAGCAACACTTCCCTCACCTGGATTCTTCTCTCCTTCCCAGCGTCCACACAGGAATACACACACACCCCTAACACACATGCCATTCTAATCTAAGTTCCAGGGTTAGAACTATCTCTATTTATCTCACACAACAACACCCCTGCACCGTAGACTTTATGCACATGCAGCCAGCACCCTCAAGCCTTGCATGTCCAGCTGCCTGGTTATTGAGAACCTACTCTTTGAGCTGAGACACATTTACAATGAAATTCCTCTTTGAATGTGAGTTTCCTTATCAGGCTCAGCACCCAGAATCATTCCTCAGAAAACAAAGTTGTGTTCATTCTCTCTAGGACTACAGGAATAGGCAGAAAGAGTGAACAGGAAGAAGTGTCCTCCTGGTATAGCAGTTGTCTGGAAAAAGGGAGTGAGGGACCCCAAACAAGGAGTCTGACCTCAGAGGTCAGGGGGAAGAAAGGGAATGGGGGCAGGAACCCCAGCACCAATATTCCCAAAGTTGCTGGGAGGAAGGAATAGAAGGACTTGCACAAAGCAAGTATAACTATAGAAATCAACACCCCCTGAAGATGGCCTTTCTTCTGCTATATGGATTCAGCTTGATATGACTACAGCCATCTTGAATCATAACTACATGACTGCCCCAGAATAAACCCCAGCCAGCTTTCTTTTCTTTTGCACAGTTTCCCATTAGATGGGAACAATTCAAGTAGGATGTGGGGTTTTACAATCAGACCCTGGAATTGGGGATATACCTGACTTCTTGATACAAGCTTAAAATAAGCTAGATACATGCCAGCTAGGATGAAATCACATTTTGTCCTAACCCATTCACACACCCTTCTTTCTGACCCAAATGGCAGGGATCCAACTGGTCTTGTTGCCAGGCAGGGCCACACTTCCTTCAGTAAGTCCCCTACTGCAATCCTAGATCTATCTGCCTCTTTCTTCAGCCTCATGGCACCTTGGAGCCAGTCCTCATACACTCRGATGAGTTGTTCTAGACTACAAGCCCTGAGTGCCTGTCACATTTTCCTGGCCCTCCTCCTCTGGGGCTTCTCCTGCCTGGTCACACGCTGAGTGTCTAAAAGCAGAAAAGACTTAGTTGAACAGCAGAATAAAATAGACACTAGTATTGCTGAATGTGTATACGTGACTGTATGACCAATGTGATTCTGCAACCTGTACACTCAGAAAAATGAGAAATTATACCCCATTTGATTCAAATGTATGATATGTCAAGATCATTGTACTGTCATGTGTAACTAAAACAATTAAAAAAAAAAAAAAAGAACATGCCCCTCAGAGATGACAGGGTTTCCTGAGCCTCAGCCAGGCATGGAAGGCCCTGAGCTCTAACCACTGGAAAAGTGTCTGTTCAGTGTGTATCCAGTATGGCTGATAGAACAGAACTTCCCCCCAGGAGGCCAAAGACAGCTAGAGCCTGGACCCCATAACCACTGTCCATGGAGGGGCTCCCAGGGGGAGGAAAAGGATGCCATTTCTCATCAGGGCTTGGGGGAAAAGGGGTAGGGTGGCAGAGCAGTGGGCAGAAGAAATGAGGGTTTCATAATTCTGAGCTAGACAGTCCACATTTACATGAATTTCTGTACCTGAAGGAAGGGAGGAGGAGGAGATAGACCATTAGGGAAAGAAGTTTCCTGCAGAAACCTGGGCTGGAGAAGAGCTGCTCCCCCCTGGTGGTTCCACTGTGGTACTGCAGGCTAAATGCAGGTGTTGGCTTGGGATCTGCCACCATGGATTCTTCAGCCCATCCCTGTAATGGCCACTCTCTCCAGGTGCCGCTCCAGCTGGCATCCTACATGAGTTTTCCAGGAAGGAGGGAAACAACAAGATCGTTGACGGGTAAAGGCCTGAATCTCGTGTTAATTACTCAAACCTGTTCCAAGCCCTAGAGGGCATGTAGCATTCTTCTAAGCCAGGGACAGAAACCCAAACCTAAAAAGAGACACCCCTTCCTGTCAAATACCTGGGAGGCACAAGTGGGGTATCACTGGCCCTCTGCATCTCAGAAGAGTCAGAATAGAAAAGGGAAGGGGTGAGGGGTTTTCCTCATGGCAGTGGTACACCATGACTGGATTGGGCTATGATCAGATCCCCCTCGCCAGATCTGGCTCCCTTCCAAGGAAAAGAGGCCTGAGAGGAGGTGGGGCATGCTGAGGGTCTAAGTGCCTCGAAACTTTTTTGTCCATACGCCTTTCCTTCYACTGTGTCAAGCCCTTGAGCTACAGCCCCAGGTGAAGCCCTGAATTCGGAGGTGCTAGCAGAAACCAGAGACCTAACAGTCCATTCTCTAATATTCTTAAACACCTTCCCCTAGGAGTTACATAACGGATCAACAATCACTGTATTTTTCAGAGAAGAATAATAATAGAAATCTAGAATCTCCAGTTTAAGCCTGAAGCAATAGATTCATTTAAATAAAGAAACATGGCTGGTGGCTTGAGTGTACTTAACACTAGACCTCTGGTGGACTCAGAGACCCCTGAGGGCAGGGACTGACTCCCACCATTTTTTGTTTCTGACACCTGGTAGTGTCTAGCTCTTCCCAGAGCAGAATGACTGCTGAGGGAGATGACACTGCAAAGTCTGGCCGCACTTTCCATTTCCATCTGTATTTTTTTTCTTTTTAGATATTTTTTAGTTGTAGATGAACACACAGTATCTTTATCTGTTTTTATGTGGTGCTGAGGATTGAACCCAGGGCCTCACACATGTGAGGCAAGCGCTTTACCACTGAGCTACAGCCCCAGCCCCTCCATCTGTATTTCTTATGTTGTCTTGACAGTATGAGATTTCCTAAGGCCTCTATTCTCTTCATCTTTATAATAAAGAAAGAGAATCAAGATGACTCTGGCAAGTTCTCCCAACTCCAAGTTTGGGGAAGTCTAAGAATCCATATGTCTTTACCAAAACTTAGAAAGTCAGAGCCTCAGGAAGCACTGGAGAATTCAAGGGGAACTTCTGTCCAGCATACATTAGGTGCTCAACCAGAGTTAGCAGAAACTGAAATAAATCTGGAATCCGCAAAGGACTGTCACCACATCCACGGAGAGTCTGAGGGAGGTGTGGGGTTTGGAGAGTATGGATCTGAGGAAGAGCCACCCAGCTTCTGTGTGAAGCTAGAGGAGAGGTGGAAAACGGAAGGGGGGGGCAAGGCAGAGGCATACTGAGAGGTTTCTGGGTAGTGTCCTGTGGGGAAGGGATCTGGGGACCTGTCCATCTCTTATCACTCTTTCCAAGCTTCCTCTTCCTTAGAGTGATGTTGCTCACTCCCCTCCTCCCCTCTTGAGAACTCACAGAACAGTTGTCTTTCTCATGGAATGGGTGTGGGGAGCTAAAGACAAGTCCCCTTTCAAATCCCTCCCCAGACCATCCCTTTATAGGTTGGAATTCATGAGGGATTCGCCTCCTCCCTCACTCAAGAAATTTCCCAGGATTCCCAGAAGTGGATGCCCAACTCTTTTTCTTCCTAGCTCCTTGCAGGAGAAACTCTTCAAGGGTGGTGATTTTTAACCTTTGAGGACATCACAGACCCCTTTGAGAATCTAAGGAAAGTTCTAAGTCCCCTGAAAATGCACATACAAAACAAAATTTTACATATACAGTACTTTGCAGGGAGATCCCATCCAAAGCCAGTGGAGCTAGGAATTCTTGTCAGTTGAAGAAGTTTACTGAACTACTAACAGTGTTTTTACCGAAAGCTCCGTCCTTACCCCCGATGCCAATCCAATAACAAGGACACAGTTTTGAGAAGAAGGAAAAAGAGATTTTATTGCTTTGCTAGCAAAGAAGAAAAACAGGGGATTCATGTCCTAGAGCCTGTGATTCTCCCCATCAGCAGGAACAGGGGGCTTTTAAAGAGGTCATTCAAAGGCTACCTTTGGAGTGTTCTTTATTGGAATTGTAATTTACTTGTTAATTTGGGAGATAGTTATTTCTGAGATCTTCTGGTACCATCCCCAAAGTCTGGATTACTTTGTTCTGGGTGTGTACTTAGGGAGAGAAAAAACTGCCTAAAATGGGGAAGAAAGGTCATCCTGTTTCCCCTGAGATTAGGGAGGGGGAGAAATAAGGGAGGAACAGGGAGAAAGAGAAAGAAACATATCCATTAAAAAAAAAAATTGTAGGGCTGGGGATGTGGCTCAAGCAGTAGCGCGCTCGCCTGGCATTGCGTGCGGCCCGGGTTCGATCCTCAGCACCACATACCAACAAAGATGTTGTGTCCGCCGAGAACTAAAAAATAAATATTAAAATTCTTTCTCTCTCTCCCTGTCTCTCTCTCACTCTCTCTTTAAAAAAAAAAAAATTGTAATGGCAGAGCAGCAAGGGCTATATTCAAAGCATAAAGTGGACCACTGTTACAGTGTGGCCTGGGGAACTTATTTAACCTCTCTGCACTTTAGTTTCCTCATCCTATGATAGAATCCACCTCATAAGTGGTCATGAGGATTAAATGAGATAATACGTGTAAAACACCTTAGAACTATGTCTGACAACTGGCAAATATTTAATTAACATTAGATATTACTATTACTGCATCTCTTCTGTGGTAATTCATGGTGGCATTTGGGAGCGGTSTCACCATTCAATGTAAGAAATACAACCCCAGAGAAATAAATAAAAAAGGAAATTGGTATTGACCTAATTCATTTAAAAAGTGATTGGTGGTAGTGAGAATATAGAGAGATATTTCAATGTTAATTACACAGAAGGTGACTTCTTCTTCCTTATGCTCAAAAGTGGGAAACGGGCATGCTCATGCCAAGCACTTTCCGTGTATTTATCCCATGATCTCAGTGACAAGAGCATCATTATCCTCACTTTACATATAAAGAAACTGAGATTCAGAAAAGCTAATTGACTATAACCCAAAGTCACACAGCTACTCAGTGGTGATCCCCAAACCTTTTTAGGAAGAACTTGACACAGTTTGAAACATATCCTCCATCTTAGAACAAGAGTCCCTCACAGTCACCTCACAGTGACTCAGCCTGACCTAAACCTCAGACAATCATCATGCAAAAGAAAGGAAATTGTTATCTGGGGCTGTTATCTGGGTTCGAAATATGAGGGTGACACCCCAAGGACCCTTCCCTGAAAACCCCTAGGAAAGGCCTAATTGCAAAAACTCCCCCCTCCCTCATTCCCCTATGACTACCTCAGACTCTGAGTGAAGATGGGTCTCAGTCTCAACTGGGCCCCACTCCGCAGGTTTGTCCTGAATAAACCTGTGTTAGCGTTGAGCTGCCTGACCTCCGCCTTTATCTCCTTCACTCTGTTCTTTCCTTATAGTCTCTACCGTGTCTTTTTTTTTTTTTAAAGAGAGAGAGGGAGAGAGAATATTTTAATATTTATTTTTTAGTTCTCGGCGGACACAACATCTTTGTTGGTATGTGGTGCTGAGGATCRAACCCGGGCCGCACGCATGCCAGGTGAGCGCGCTACCGCTTCAGCCACATCCCCAGCCCCCATGTCTCTTGACTAAACAGAGAAAGCCCAGGGCAGGGAACATCCTTCTTTGGGAAACCTGGGGAGTCCCTTTTCCAGGGCTGCTGGCCAAACAGAGTAACTTTCAGCCTAATTTGGCTTTTTCACTCAGTGACCTTCTGGAAGGGGACAGGAGTGCAATTGTCACCAAACTGCTCAGACTTCATCTTCCCACTCTCTACTTGCCCCTGCCACACAGGCCAGGAAACATGGATCTCCTGGGACAGCCTGCCTCTCCCTTTCTCCAGGGCCCAAGCACAAGCCCTTTGCCCTGCCCAGCCCCAGGAAGCTGCCTGCCTTTATCTGTGCCTGTCAATACCTCTTTCCCTACCTTCCTTCCTTTTTCATTGTTGATCCCAATGTCTTGTCTACATTTTTTGGGAAAAAAAAAAAAGTGAGCTTGGGGGAGGGGGAAAGAGTAATTTCCAGGAATTGTTTCAGGACTGCTGCTCCTACTGCTTAGAGCAAAGCTGTGTGCCCCCTCCTGCCCAGGTTGGCAAGGAGCCTAGTCTCCGGCCCCTCCCTTTTTCCCTTCCTCCCAGCCTCTCTCTTTTCAGCTGCCCCACTCCCCCCCMAAAAAAATACCTTCACATGAAAACTGTAGAGCTCTCACTTATTTCTTCCTGAGGGAACAGCTTTCCCTCTTAGCCTCTGCTCAAAGGAACCACCATGACTTCCTCTTGGTGGGCATAGGTAAGGGCTGGGAGCAGGTGGAGGTGAGGCTGCAGAGGTGCGTCTCCACATGACAGGAAGATTTGAAAACCCAAGTGACAAGAGCCACTAAAATGCAGTCTTGAAAGGAATGGAAATGGCCATAGGCACAGTCCACTTGGAGAACAAGGGCTTCCCTGGAGGGATTTTAGTCTAGCAGAAGCTCCATCTGCATGGCTCAAAGGCATGAAGATGGAAGTGAAAATTTTCAGAAGCCTCCTTATTGAAAAAAGGCTACCAAWGGGATAGAAATTAAGAAGAGGGCTGTGGTTCAGCGGTAGAGCACTCGCCTAGCAAGTGTGAGGCCCTGGGTTCAATCCTCAGCACCACATAAAAATAAATAAATAAAACAAAGGTATTGTGTCCAACTAAAAACTGAAAAATAAATATTAAAAAAAAGGAGAGAGAAAGAGAATATGTGGAAATGTCTGAAAAATCAAAGTAAACCATAGCTGTGACAGATTTCTTGATCCAGAAGTGGTCTAATAAATAGAGAGGACTCAAGAAATCTCAAAGCAAAATATATCCCCTCCATGGAGAAGGATGGGGTGATAATGGCATTGCAATGTGAAAGTACTTGATGCCACTGAACTGTGCACCTACAAGCTGCTTACAGTGTAAATGTTAATATTAAAGATATACACATATATACAAACAATAAAAAATCAAGTAGCAAACTTAACAAAATCCCCTCCTTGAGTAGATAAAATATTGTATGTATATATAGTAGGATATAGCTCAGCACAGAAGGAAATGAGGTAGACACAGGTTATATTGAGAATGAACCTTGAAAATATTATGCTAAATGAAAAACACCAGATACAAAATGTCACCTGCTGTATGAGTCCATGTGTAGTATATATCCACACTAGATAAATCCATAGAGGTGGAGAGCAGGCTGGGGTCTGCATGTTTTCTTGGCCATGCTTGAGAATGGCCCCTCTGTACCAGCCTTGGGATCTATGGAAAGGAAGGATGTCACCAAGTTCTGTGTGTACAGGAAGCACCACAAGGGCATTGCTCTTGTGCCCTGGATTTCTCCAAGCTGCATAGATACATCAAGGACATTGTGAAGGACTACCAGTTTAAGAAACAGAAGATGCTATTCGTCGCAACCAAGGGCATCCACATGGGTTAATTCATGTCCTGCATCAAAAAGGCCCAGCTCAACACTGCCAATGTTCCTGCCAGGGGCCCCAAACCTGAGGGGACCATCATGTGCTACCTGGAAAAGCCTGAGGATCACAGCTAGCTGGCCTGAGCCTCTGGAAACAGTACCAGTTATTTCCCACAACCTGGAGACCAAGATGCCAGGCATGAAGTTTCCCTTTGGCTCTATGAGGGTCATCTCCCAAGCCATAGGTGGCCAAAATGACAAACCCATCCTGCAGGCTAATGAGCTTACCACAAGTAATTAGGCAAAGAAGAACTGCTGGCTACCCATGCAGGATATGATCATGACCCTATGGACCATCCCTTCTGAGGTGGTAATCACCAGTACATGGGAAAACCCTCTTCTGTCTACAGAGAAGTCCCTGCTGGCCACAAAGTTGGTCTTGCTGCCAGACCAGTGTCTCCATGGAACCAAGACTATGAAGGAGGAGAACAAGGAATAGTGGGTGACTGCTTAGTGGGTACAGGGTTTTTAATTTGGGGTGATGGAAATGTTGAGGACCTAGACTGAAATGGAAGTTGCACAATGTGAATGTACCAAATGCCACTGAATTGTACACTTTAAAATGACTAATTTTATGAGAATTTCCCCTTTATCTCTTTAATCCCTTCCAGCCAACATACCCTTGACCCTACATCCTACAAAACAAGGGCCCAGGTTCAGGTGGCTCTACCACATGCACAATGAGATAGGCAACTCTCTTGGCCCTAAAAGAGGATGGAGAAGCCCATTTCCCGCCCCATAGAAGTACGTCCTGGGTCTCTGGAAATGGCTAAGGTGAGAGTGCTCTGAGAGGAAGGCAGCTCTGCTGACACAGAATCTCACCAACACAAGCTCCTTACTCTATAGCTTTCAGGGAAGGAGAAGGGAAGTCTGGTCCCTCCCTCATACCCCTTTGCCCACCTTGCCCCAGTCACACACTGTGCCCTTCCCTTTCCTTCCCGTGGTGAAGTGTGGAGTCTTAGAGCCCTTCTCCTCCCTCCCCATCCAGGAGTCTCCACTCCACATTCAGACTTTTCTCTCTCCCCAGATTCTCACTTCAGATCACAGAATGAAGACAGGGAACTGGAAACCCTTGTGGGTGGAGTTGGGGTGGGTACAGGGAGACTGGGGGGTGAACTTGTAGGGACACCAGAGCCATTAAAAGCCTGACTGATTATCAGATTTGTTTTAGCCCCCACCCCCACCCCACAGTTGTGCTCTAGTAGAAATCAAGACAGACGGGGAAAAGTGGGACTCTAAGCCAGCTCAGAGAGGAAAATAATCTTTTTTTGTGTGCCCTGCTCTGAGCCCTTTATTTTGGTGGCTCATTTAATTCTCACATCATCCTTCTTAGTAGGTACTGTTGTCCCCATTTTGCAGAGAAGAACTGAAGCTTATAGAAGTCAATTCATAGAGCTAGTGAGTGAAGCAGCTGGATTTTAATGCTTGCATCCTGACCTCCCTATTTGCTTTTTGCTGGGACGTCCCCTCTAACTGGATTGGGGGAATGCTGGAAAAACCTCAGCCCTCTCCCACAGAGCTTTAGCCAGTGACAGCTATTTCCCGGATGAAGGACAGCCCTGAAGCCAGTAGCAAAGGGCAGCCCTGAAGCTAGCAGCCCCACAGCCAGGGTCCCTTCAGTCTCCTTGCAACTTCCCAACAGCCCAGACCTGTAGGACCTCCAGGACTAGAGGTGCATCCACGGGAAATCCAGGTGAGTGTTGTCCYCTCCCAGGGAAGATGGAAAGCCAGGGCTTGAAGACAGATTTCCCAGGGGTGAATCAGAGGGGAGGGGTGTTGTGTGTGCACACATGCGTGTCCTCTCACACCTAATGCCTGAATGGCTAGACAGTGTGGAACCCTTAGTGAAGACGCACGACAAAGTGGAGAGAAGTGGAGGTTGGAGACGCTCTAGGGCTGGAGGTGGGATGGGACTGGCTGGGGCTGGGAAGAAACCTTGTTGAGCAAACCATCCTGGTCTCTACTAGCACTGAAATCCCTTAGCAAAATGTCTGTGCTCTTGGGTCAAAGCTGGCAACTCAAGGTTTGAATGCTAAACACCCCTTATTCCTTCTTTCCCAGAATCTTTCCCCAAGGGCCCCCAGCCCCTATGCCYTCTACCTGGGAGGCACAAGGCTGCTTTCAAGAGTTCCTTTCTCTTCCCACCCTCTCTTCTTCCCAACAGGTGCTTGCAGGTCCTCATGTCAGTCAGACCCAGCTCGGGGCCAGGCCCCTCTGAAGGGCCCACCGCAGCGCCTGACAGTGAAGAGTTCCACAATTGGGAGGAATTGCTCTACTTCTTCAACCACACTTTGTCCGAGTGCCACCTGGAGCTCAGTGAGGACACCAAGCGAGTGGTCCTCTTTGTCCTCTACCTGGCCATCTTTGTGGTTGGGCTGGTGGAGAACCTTCTGGTGGTATGTGTCAACTGGCGTCGCTCAGGCCGGGCTGGGCTGCTGAACCTCTATATCCTCAACATGGCCATCGCGGACTTGGGCATCATCCTGTCCCTGCCTGTTTGGATGCTGGAGGTCATGCTGGACTACACCTGGCTCTGGGGAGACTTCTCCTGCCGCTTCACTCATTACTTCTACCTTGCTAACATGTACAGCAGCATCTTCTTCCTGGTGTGCCTCAGTGTTGACCGCTACATCACCTTCACCAATGCCTCTTCCTCCTGGCAGCATCGCCAGCACCGAGTGCGGCGGGCTATATGTGCAGGCGTCTGGGTCCTCTCAGCCATCATCCCACTGCCCGAGGTGGTCCACATTCAATTGGTGGAGGGGTCAGAGCCCATGTGCCTCTTTGTGGCACCTTTTGAAACATATAGCACATGGGCCCTGGTGGTGGCCCTGTCCACCACTGTCCTGGGCTTCCTGCTGCCCTTCCCTCTCATTGCAGTCTTCAACGTGCTGACAGCCTGCCGACTTCGGAGCCAGGGACAGCCCCAGGGCCGGCGGCACTGCCTCCTGGTGTGTGCCTACATAGCTGTTTTTGTCATCTGCTGGCTGCCCTACCATGCGACTCTGCTGCTGCTCACTCTGCATGGGAGCCACATATCTGTCCATTGCTACCTGGCCCACCTGCTCTATTTCTTCTATGACATCATTGACTGCTTCTCCATGTTGCACTGTGTTGCCAACCCCATCCTCTACAACTTTTTCAGTCCAAGCTTCCGGGACCGGCTGCTGAGTGCTGTTGTCCACTACCTTCCAAAGGAYCAGGCCAGGGCAGGTGCACGGGCTTCCTCTTCTTCCTCTTCCACCCAGCACTCCATCATCATCACCAAGGAGGGCAGCCTGCCCACTGCAGCTGCCTCCCCCAGTCCCACCTAAGCCTGAACTTCCAGCCRCCCTCTGCTTCCAAATGCCTCATCTCTGTTTGGCAATCCCATAGGCAGCTGAGGTAGATTCCAGGCTCTTCCATGAGTAAAAGGCTGAAGGGGGAGGTGAGACATTTGGGGGGAGGGGGGAGGGAGAGCATCAGAATACTCATGGTATATCTGAAATATGGGAGAGGGAGAAGGGATGGGGAGGAATAGAGAACAGGTCCTTCCTTGGTGTTGTATTATTTGTTTTGGCCCTTGTGTCTAAGGGAGCAATGCAGAAAAGAAAAAAAAAGTGAAATAAATAATTAGAGATAGCCATGGCTCTGGATCTCTGAGAACTCTGCACTTCCAGCTGGGCTTGGGAAGGAAGCTGAGGCTAAAGGGATGCCCTGCATAGGAAACTAGACACATGCATTTCATAAATCATCCTAGCTAGAAAGAATGAGCTCCACAGGAACTTCACAAAACTTTCCTTTTGTTTGTGTGCTTGTTGATCTTCCAGCTCACTATGCAGGTTGTGGGGACATGAGGCCAGAGGTCAAGGAATCAGGAGGCCTCAGCAGGACATTCCCTATCTGTGCATGTCAGTGCAATGATAAGTGGAGGGGGATGGGGTCTACAGGGGTGGGGCCTGGGTCTGAGACAGGCACCCTGCAGCTGGGTCAGCAGGATAGACTCTCCACCCTCCACCATCCAGGAAACAGAGTTCCATTTCCTTACTGATACCCTCCCCTCCCACTTGTCCATCCTGCTCCTCCTCCCCCAAAGCAGAGGCACTGTTCTAGAGTCAATGCTCCTTGTAGCTTTTGATTTAGGACAATCTATTTTTCATGGAGACACAGAGCTACCAAAAATCCCACCACCATCCCCATTTCTTGCTTTCTCTCCAGATCATAGGAAAATATCCAGAGACATTCATTCTGGAGCAAACATGGTGACAGTTAGCAGCAGGTGCTGACAGTTGCTCCATCCCTCAGCCTTTGCCCCCCTACAGGGATGAGAAAGGCCAAAGTGGAAATTTCCCAGTTCTGTGACAGAGTAGAGCTCTAGCATGAAGTCAGTTCTCCCTGGCCAAGTCTTTTCATAATTTTCCTGCCTGACAATTTACACTTATTAACACTTGTTGTATAGATGGGGAAAGAAGTACTCTTGTTAACAAGTAGGTCTTCTGGAAAAGGCTCATTATCAGTTTGGGAAACTAGGCCCAGGAACTTGAAGAACACTGACGTAAAAGTCTAAGAACAGGCTCTGGTTTCCACCTTTCAATCATGATTCACATCTTTGGCCTCTCAATCCTGCGTGGAGAGCTAGGGAGCTATGGATACAATTGCTGATCTTCTGTTCCCTCTGTTCTGCTCCAGAGCTCACTGTGCCAGGAATGTTTAACTTGGATTAACTACCCATTACCTGGAGGCCAAATACTCTACTTTTGGAAATCTCAACCCATATTCAGCAGATGCATTAAACATGTACTGCAATGGCGGATGCAGCCCAGGTCTGTCAGGAGCACAGAGGGAAACCTGTATCTGCCATTCCCTGATCACTTGGCCCAAACTGGAGAGGGTCTTAAGCTACACATAGAGAGAAGACTTTCTGAACAAGGTTTCTGGGTTGTTCTTGGGGATGTGATAAGGGCTTAACTTAACAATGCAGAAATGGTAATATAAAGACTTTCTTCCCTTATCCCCACTTAGAAAGCAAGCCAAGATCTGATGATCTTATCACTAACTGCATTGTCTTGGGCTCCAGGACCTTTCTGAAGGAAATCCAAATTTACATGTGTCACATCCCAAGTCACCACAGAGGCCACTTCCCCCAAACTTGTTATCACCCTGGCAGTAGGAATACTTCCTTAGAATCTTTTTCACCCATGGAAGGGAAGGCTAGAACTGATTATGCTGACTGTGACAAGACTGTTGTACTCAGCAAACATTTACTGAGCAACAATGACAGCTGAGCCTGGGCCATGTGCTCTGGGACCAACAGGACCATATCACTCCCTACCTGCTAGGGGTCTGTTTCTTCTGTGTTAACTCATTTGCATCARCCTCAACAAATTATGCCAAACCTTTCCCTTCTCCCTATTCAAATCTTCCTTCCCCCTCCCACTTTCTATCTGCCTCTCTCCACTCAAAGACATACTGCTTCACCAAGAAATAAGTGGCCATGGTAAGACAATTTACAACTGAATCACTTACTTAGTAATGTTAGTCCAACTAGACATCCATAGTCTCACTGCTCTCTCTCAGTTTGACAGAAGAGGCCCTCAGGCACGTCCCCTTGAAGAGGTTGAGTTTTTGACTTAAGTTCCCACTCAAAACTGGTCAACAAGCTAATCCTGGGGAATTCCAACTACAGGAAAGGAAAATGTGCTACCTGAAAGAATTCTGGTGTGTACTGAGCCAACATGTGTTACTGAAAGAGTGATGAGCTCAGATATTCTGAACTCAAGGTATGAGCATGTTTGTAGTACACAGGAAGCAAACTCTCATTTTAAATTTCTTCTTTTTATTATTCTAAATAAAAACCACACTTTGTGCTGAACAATGGAATATAAAAGAATCAGATGTACAACGATTTTAAACATCTACTATTTGGGAAAAAAAGTTTACAAAATATACAAAACTTTACAGCAATAGATAGTAAACACTTAAATATTAGGAGGTCAGTACTTATTAATTTAATGGAAGGAGTTAGACGTCAACAACTTTTTTCCGTTTCTTAAGAGACTTTAGCTATTAGAGATGGAGGGAATTGGGAGGGTTGGACAGGGGAGGGTGTTACAGAAACATCAAAATCAAATGTTTCATTTTAATTCGGAAGTTAAGTTTATGATGCATAATCACACTGAAACTAATGCTATGCACCCTGCTTCCTGTCTCATTTGGTGCAGGATTTAGGGAAAAGGACATGTGGGGACTCCCAGATGGGCACAGACTGCTCCACACAGTCCACTCCCATGCCAAAAAATTCAGTGTCTGTCTACAAAGGGATTTAATTTCACTTTCAAAATTGAGTGGTCTGGGGAAAAAGAGCACAGCAGGAGGCCAGAAAGAGGGGGGCAGGAATAATCAGTAGCAAAAGCCTGACTGGGAAAAAAGGCATTGAAGCCAAAGATTTGTCCTGGAGATAAAGGGTGCTAATAGAGGAGAAAAGAAGTGAAAAAGAATTTTTACCCATTTCTTAGTTTTTAGGGGTTGTTTGGGCCCAAAACCCACCTTACCTCCTTTTTTTTCCAACTAGCCATGAACTAAAGGGACTCCCTGGAGTCTTAAAATTGAGGACCAAATACTGTTCAGCAGAGCTTCCAGTGGATGCTGTGGCATCAATGAGCCATCAAGTCACTGGATGCCAGGGTATTGATCCCCTGTTCTGGCCACAAGCAGACTCCGCAGTTCATCCCAGCATGCCATACAAGGATTGCTGTTTCCCTGGAGGAAACAAATCAGCAATGGCCTCAGATTTGGTTTAACGCTGTACAACTGCCATCTTGAAATTCCTAACAATTTGTGAACCAGAGGGCTTTGCAAATTATGTAGCTGGTCCTGAGTACAGATCAAGAAAAAGGGAAAACAGGTAAAGAGAGAACATTCAAGGGTCAAATAGAATTTCAGAGCATTACAGAAGGGACAGTGCTAAACTGGGTTCCTGGAGAGAGGGGGCAACGCAATCAAATGAGCATTAGGTTGAAAAATCAAAAAGGCAAAATAAAATGAATCCCTTCCACTGGGTAGTATCTTACAGTGCCCTTTGTCACGATATAGTGTTTCAAGTAAAATTCAGAAAAGGGTGAACTAGAGGCAGAGGAAGCACAGAAGGGGACTTCAGTGTGACTTCACATAGAAGGGGAGTTCAATGTGAATACAGGGGACAACCAGCAGGGTAGGGTTTGGTCAATAAGACTCATGATCTACTGATCCTGTTGCTACATATCTGACTGGGACCAACTGGGCCTCCCTGATCAACCATTTAGCCTAAGGGACATCAGAGGGTGCAGGTTTTTTTGTTTAGTGTTTCAAGGGCAAAGTTTCAAGGATCTGTTTTTTGGTTCATTGGCAAAAAAGGAAAACTTCACAGTTTCAGGTTAAGTATACAGACCACCCAGCATCCACAATGCCTGTTTTTTTTTTTGTTGTTGTTGTTTGTTTTGTTTTTTAAAAAAGGATTTCTCCAGCATGTTTACTTACTTTTAGCTATCTGACCTATAAGTATTATTTCTCTCAAACTGACCCCTCAAAACTCAGTCCTCACCAACAGTCTGGGAGTAACCATCATGCTTGAAAAGCTTGGCAGATACTTGACTGTGGCCTATTACGTGTCCCCTTCTCATATTCCTAATGGTCAGCATAAGTGAGAAGACAGTCAGGAATGAAGTCTCAGAACTTCTCTCCTGAGAATGTCCCAAGTTGGGTTTAGATGGTAAAAGGTGGGCCTTTAACTGGCAGTGTGCCTTGGAGTGGCACATAAAAGTCTCCTGTCATCTAGTGAAGGACTGGAGATTCCTGTGCTCCATTCTGAGGCTTCCTCAATTCCAAGCCAGGGAGAGAGGCAGCAGGCCTATTAGAGACAGAGCTTTGGTTTGGCCATGTTTCTTAATATAAACAAAGACAGGAGGGTCTCTATGTTTAGAAAGGATAAGAAACTGTAAAAAGGTCCTGTGACTTGATCCTCTCAACTCAATCCCCAATCTACACCATCTCAAGATGGAAGGGGAATGAAAAGTCTGGAAATTTAAMTGGCCCAAACTTTCTAGAACTTACCTAAAGGGCTCTGTGGATTTATTCTGCTACAGACATCTGGAGACAAGAAAACTGACTTGTTTAAAAGGCTTGGACACATTCTCCCTGATTCCCCAAATCTCTGACCAGGACTATTCCCTGGAATATGGCTACTTGCTGGGGAGAAACTCATTTTCCTGAACTCTCTTATCCAAAAGAGATGCTGGGTAATATGCATACAAAAACAAAAAATAAATAAATATTAACATCCAAAAAGGCTTTGTGAGTTAATTAGCTTGCTTGTGAAACAACCCGGGTGTTGCTAAGTCCCACCAGGGGCAGTGTCAGGCGAGGCCAGGAACTCCCAGAGCT